AGCCTTTTCCCCTAAGGTCAGGAACACAGCAGGGATGTCCACTCTCACCGTTATTGTTCAACATACTACTAGAAGTCCTAGCCGCAGCAATCAGATAACAAAAAGAAATAAAAGGCATCTGAATTGGCAAAGAAGTCAAACTCTCACACTTCGCAGATGATATACTCTGTGTGGAAAACTCAAAAGTCTCCACCCCCAAAACTGCTAAAACTCATACAAGAATTCAGCAAAGTGGGAGGATATAAAGTCAATGCATAGAAATCAGCTGCATCCTATAACACTAACAATGAGAAGAGAGTGAAATTAAGGAGTCGATCTCATTTACAATTGCACCCAAAACCGTAAGATACCTAGGAATAAATCTAACCAAAGAGGCAAAGAATCTGTACTCAGAAAACTATAGGACACTCATGAAAGAAACTGAGGAAGACACAAAGAAATGGAAAAACATCCCATGCTCACGGATTGGAAGAATACCGTAAAATATCTATGCTACCTAGAGCAAACTACACATTCAATGCAATCCCTATCAAAATACCATCCACTTTTTTCACAAAACTGGAGCAAATAATCCTAAAATTTGTACAGAACCAGAAAAGACCCCAAGTAGCCAAAGGAATGTTGAAAAAAGAAAGCCAAAGCTGGTGGCATCACAATCCCGGACTTCCAGCTCTATTACAAAGCTGTAATCATCAGGACAGTATGGTACTGGCACAAAAACACACAGATCAATGGAAAGGAATAGGAAACCCAGAAATGGACCCTCAACTCTATGGTCAACTAATCTTCAACAAAGCAGGAAAGAATGTCCAATGGAAAAAAACCAGTCTCTTCAACAAATGGTGTTGGGAAAATTGGACAGCCCCATGCAGAAGAATGAAACTGGACCATTTCCTTACACCACACACAAAAATAGACTCCAAATGGTTGAAAGACCTAAACGTGAGACAGGAGTCCATCAAAATCCTAAAGGAGAACACAGGCAGCAACCTCTTTGACCTCACCCGCAGCAACTTCTTCCTAGAAACATCGCCAAAGGCAAGGGAAACAAAGGCAAAAATAAACTATTGGGACTTCATTAAGATAAACAGCTTTTGCACAGCAAAGGAAACAGTCAACAAAACCAAAGACAAACGACAGAATGAGAGAAGATATATGCAAATGACATATCAGATAAAGGGCTAGTATCCAAAATCTATGAAGACCTTATCAAATTCAATGCCCAAAGAACAAATAATCCAATCAAGAAATGGGCAGAAGACATGAACAGACATTTCTCCAAAGAAGACATCCAAACGGCCAACAGACACATGAAAAAGTGCTAAACATCGCTCGGCAGAAGGGAAATCCAAATCAAAACCTCAATGAGATACCACTTCACACCAGTCAGAATGGCTAAAATTAACAAGTCAGGGAACGACAGATGTTGGCGAGGATGCAGAGAAGGCGGAACCCTCCTACACTGTTGGTGGGAATGCAAGCTGGTGCAGCTACTCTGGAACACGGTATGGAGGTTCCTCAAAAAGTTGAAAATAAGAGCTACCATACGACCCAGCAACTGCACTACTGGGTATTTACCCCAAAGACACAAATACAGTGATCCAAAGGGGCACATGCACCCCAATGTTTATAGCAGTAATGTCCACAATAGGTGTCCATTGACAAATGAATGGATAAAGAAGATGTGGTGTATATATATACAATGGAATATTACACAGCCATCAAAAAAAAGAAATCTTGCCATTTGAATGATGTGGATGGAATTAAAGGACATTGTGCTAAGCGAAATAAGTCAACCAAAGAAAAACAATTATCATATAATCTCACTGACATGTGGAATATAAGAAACAAAGAGAGGATCATAGGGGAAGAGAGGAAAGCCATGTGATGCAATGAGCACTGGGTATTATATAAGACTGATGAATCATAGGCCTGTACCTCTGAAACCAATAATATATTATACATTAATAGAATTTAAATTAAAATTGTTAAAAAAGAAAATAGCCATTGAAAAATATTTTTAAAAACTATGTAGTTTCAGACATCTAGGTAAGTAAGTTGGAAAATCTAGCTAAAAGAATAATTTACTATGGAAATATAGTTTACTAAAATTAACCTCATTAGAAACAGAAATACCAAATAGACCAACTTCCATTTCTCTCTTTCTATGAGAGAAAATTTAAAACATTCCTAAAAGTCACAAAAGTAGACTTGAACAAATGGAGAAACACTCCTATTTCTGGAAAGGACAATCAACATAAAGATATAAATTCTCCCTAAATTAATTTGTAAATGTAATGCAACCCCAACAGAGACACTATGGCTCTGGCACGCGGGCACTAAAGTTCGTACAGAAGCACAGACATGCAAGAAGAGCTGGGACGGCAGTGGAAAACAGCCGGGAGGCGAGGCCTCGCTGAACACATGGAGCTCCCGACGTAACTAACTCAGTGCAGCAAGGGCTCAGGAAGAGGCGAGGAGGAAAAGAACAGAAATTCTTGAGTAGATCAAGGACACAGGGAAATTTAGTTTGGCACAAAGGAGGCACCCTGAATCACGGGGCAAGATGAATTTTTAGTAACTGGTGCTGGGCCAGTGGGCTAACCCCTTAAGAAGAGAGAATACCGGACCCATGGCTCACATGATACCCACGAAAAATCTCCAAATGTACCAGGGGCTAAATGAGAAAGGTGGGGCTACAGAAATCCCGGAAGGCACCGGCACATTCCTCTTCCACCTTAGCGTTAGAGTAACACTTTCCGACCACTTTAAAATCCAGAGGCACTAAAAGATCAATGAAATGACTATCTAAAACTGAAAAAGAAAACTACTGCATGGCTGGCAAGCATCACAGACACAGTCCAAAGGAGTATGTATCTGCAGCCTGTGATGTAGGTAGAAAGAAGGCCAATTAATATTCCTAATATATGAAAGACTCTTAAAAATGCAAGGAAAAAGACCAAAAACGTAATTTAAAACCAAGAAGAAAATGTGAATAGAAAATTCACGAAAAAGAGGCAAACAATGCTTAAAAATATAACCTCACTGCAATTAGAGAAAATGCACATGAAAGCTCCTCTGGGGACTGACATCACCTCCTGTCTTGGCTCAAGTCACCAGCCGGATGAGCCGGTCCCCGCCCCGCCTCCTGACTCGGCACTCCGCCTTCTTGGGAGTCCTTGGCAAGAAACAGCGCCCAGGGCGGCCCCGCGGACAGCCACAAGCCCGGCGCGGAGGAGCTCTGTGAACCCCTCGCGCTCCGCGCTTTCCCGAACGTGTTCAGTTGGCGGGAGGGGCAAGCAAGGGGCAAAAGAAGATCTCTAGGAGTTACCTTCTGTGTAAAAAAGAAAAGAAAGAAACCGAGTCGTCACCTACAGGGAGTGGGCGGAAGTGAAGTGGAAAAGGGAGAACCAGGCTTGGGGGTGGGGAAACCAACGCGGAGGGAACCGAACACAAACAAAGGCGCCTAGAGCGGCAGCTGCACCAGACCGTGCGGGCGCCCCTCCCGGCACCTCCCCGCCGCTGCGCTCCAGCCCCAGCCCGCGTGCCCTCAGCCTGGAGACTTTTCACGGGGTGGGGGGGGGGTGGTGGGGGTGGTGGTGGTGAGCAATTTTGAACCTACTTTTCGTGCGTTCCGTTAGTCAAACACTGCGCACAGCGCTGTGCAGGCGGAGAGGCGAGGGGGAGCGCCACCGAAGCCCTCGGTGTGAACAGAAACTACATGAGATGCTCATGGAGGCTGCGTATGCGCCCCCCTCCCCCCCTCCCGGCTGTGTCAGTGGAAAGGGTCTAGCAGCAAAACCACACAGCAAGCAGCAGCACCCGGATCTGGGTTTCTAAACTCCTCTAAAAAGAACCAGGGCTCCCTGGAAAACGGCAGCTTCAGGGCTGAGACAGGGAAAGTACAAGATAAGCCCGGAACATCTCACTGTGCAGGAAAGTAAGCAAGTGCCCCAAGAGTGATGGGGTCGAGGGACCATCTGAGGGGGCACCGACTGCATCTGGGACAGCCAGAGGACCAAAATAAGTAGTGTTAGTAAAGGCCTATGGTCTATAGTACAAAGTAAGACTCTACGAACCCACCCTGATCTAAATAACTGAACGAATGAAAGCCATACATGGGGCGGGGGGAAGGCAAGCACCAAATAAGAACTGTCCAAGGAATAATAATGTTAGAAAAATCACCACGTGGCAAACAATGGAGGAACAACCATTTCGGGCAGGACTTGCCAGTGATGTTACCAGCAGCAGGGGAGGCTGAGTCCCCGTCACCAGACACCGTGCCCCACATAGAGGGCACCAGCAAGGACCCACCACTTCCACGGCACCACTGCCCAAAACACATACTCTGAATCTGATCATCAAGAAATGGCACACAAAATCAAACTGAAATTATTCCAAATAATAAATTATTCTAAAAAAATAAATGGACTGACTCTTTAAAAATGTTAAGGTCATGAGAAACTGAGGAACCGATTCATTAAAGGAAATTAAGGAGATATAACATGTGACCTGGACTGGATCCTGTGTCAGGAAAAACTAACTTTTTTTTTCTTTCTATAAAGGAAATTAAAGGGATGGCTGCAGAAATAGCAGTAGGGTCTACAATTAGGATCATGCTATGGTATCAGTACTAATTTCTTAATTCTGATAACTGTATTTGTGGTTTTGTAAGAGAGTATCCTTGTTTTGAGGAAATATACAGTGAAGTATTTAAGGGCAAAGGGGCCTCATGTCTGAAATTACTCTCCTTTGCCTCAGGAAAACAATAAAAGAGGGAGAAAGAGAGCGCAGATGTGGTACACACACTGAGTCTGGGGAATCGGAGCGAGCCGCAGAGGAATTCTTTGTACTATAATTATTTCAAAACAACAACACGGAACAACAATGGCTATCTGTGTCTCCCTGCTGTGGCAAAGCCACAAGTAGCCCCAAGCCAGCACCCCAGTCGACAGGGGCACCACGGGCACCGGCCACACTCCCCACTGCTCCCTATTTACCGATTGAACTGCTGACTCTGTCTCCTTTCTTCTTCCTATTTTTCTTGCTCTTGCCCTTAGGCTGCGGAGAGTCCGCCAGCACCAGCTTGCTGTCCTGAGGGTGCTCACTGGGGGAGGCAGGCTCTGGGGGGGCCGGATTCAACCTCTCTTCCTTGACGTGGTTCAGCTGCTTTTTGTTATTGTTGTTACTGTTCACCTTTCTGTCCTCCCTTTTGTGCTCCGCCAGGGAAGTGAAGTCAAGCACTTTTGCCTTTGACTCGGTCTGGGGCCGGGGTCGGGGCTGGCCCTCGGAGGCTTTGGGGGGCTCGGCTGGCTTCCTCAGCAGCTCGCTGCTGGCCTTGCTGGTCTGTTTGAGCTTCTGCTTGCCGTTCCCCTCCTTGTGGTGCTGCATTATGTCAAGGAGAAAAGACAGTGGCTCCTGCCGCTTCGCACTGGCCTCCTTTGGGAGGAGGAGCGTGGAGTCTCTGGAGTCCGCGGGGCTGGCAGCATCCCCGCTGGCCGCCGGCCCTGGCCTGGGCTCCGTGTGGTCCCCATGTCTGGAAGGAGAGTGAGAGGAGGTTTCTGGTTCTTCCAGTTGCTCTAGTGAGCCATTGTGCATGTTTTCAGAGTTGGGTACGGACCCGGCTGCTGCCTGGAAGTTTCTAGCAAGCATGTCCAGCTTGGGACAGTCTTTACTCGGCCTCTCCTTCTTCTTCTTTTTCGCAGCCCTCAGCTTCTGAAGCTCCTGGAGCCGCTGAAACTCCTCCTCCTCCTGCTGCCGTCGCTGCTCCTCGCGGAGGTGCAGGTGCTCCCGGGCCCGGGCCTCTGCTTCCAGGCGAGCTTTCTCCTCCAGCTGTGATGCGAGAAGAAGCAGCAACTTAAGAAAACAGGAAGTGTTCTTCGTTAAGACATTAAAAAAATAAAAACAAATCATATAGTAAGAACATAAACCCTGAAACAGGTCATAATAAGCCAAACAGCTTAAAACATACCTGACCCAAATCATTTTACTCTCCGAGATTATTAGATTTAATCTTTCTACTAAGGTATGTATTTATTACTTTATTGGTTGTGGCGGGGGGGAGGGGCAGTGCTTAACAGAATCTTCTTTATAGCCTTTGTCCTAGTGACTAAGCACTTCTTTAAAACAAGGCCAGGGGCGCCGGGGTGGCTCAGCCAGTTCAGCATCCGACTCTTGATCTCGGCTCAGGTCTCAATCTCACAGTCGTGAGTTCAAGCCCCGCACTGGGCTCCGCGCTGGGCGTGGAGCCTGCTTAAAAAATAAATAAAATAAAGCAAGGTCAGAGCAGCTGCTGTGCCAGCCTCCCGTGTGTGTGGCAGCCGGATGACACCACCAGCCAGCTGCCGGCGCGCCACCTCTCCAGGCGAGGCTGGGGCCTTCACGCGCACATCGACAAGACACTTTGAAAGTGTGTACTCAAAACCTGAAATGCCTTTTTCCCAGCCTGGCAGACAAACCAAACTCCCAAGATACTTCCACCAGCGTGACAGAGCAAGTGGCATTCTGATACGTTCCACATCACACAGCAAACAGGTACTGGCTACTTCTGCCCTCCAGCTTGGCACTAAGTTAACTTCAGTCCAAGTGAAGACTGGACTTCACCGGTGATGCCTAGTCCAGGAGCCTCCATGGAAACTATTCTTTTTGCTTAGAAAACAAATGAAGGCTGTAAAGAGTGCCTGACTCTTTGCATCCCTGAGCTCCTCCAGTAAAAGACTTTGGCAAATACATTTTGCATTTAAAAGTCCTTCCAAAAATAAAACAAAATACAATTAAAAAAATAAAAGTCCTTCCAGATTTTAATTATTGTTCACAACACTCAGTAAACAATATTTTAAAAAAAGTGTCATTTTGAAGAACTTAAATATAAATTGTTAAAAATTTAATGGCAGATGTTTTAAAAATTTAACTTAACAATTCAAGTAAAACTTACTCAAAATCCTTTTTCCGTGTGTTCAAAGCAAAGCCTTGGAGGCAGACTCCTGGAGTGGCCCCTGTGTCCAGTGTCTAGTGAGCAGAGTGTCTCCCACAGCACAGGTCGGGAGCAAACCCGCCCCAGAACAGAAGCTATAGGGAACCCACAAGCAGGTATGTGGTGCCTTCCTATCAACAACCAGCCCATCAACCAGACGCTCTACGGAGATGGGGTGCAGGTTACCGAGCGCACGGGGTGAGGGGGCCCTAACCTAACACCCAAATGGAGAACAGTTCTCAGTGCCCCCCTCTAATGGGGCTGGGCAGACCCCTATCTCCTCAAAGCCCACGATTAGGAGCGTGAGGTACAAGCAGGGCTCCTGGCGATCCAATCACAACTGTCTCCACATCGTAAGCAGCTACAGGTGGAGGCACCATCCCCTGCCCGCTCTGGGAGTGTCCGCCCGCTCCATCTCTGCTGGGCCTCGCGGGGGCCTCGCCTCTTCCCCAAGCCACCTGTCCTGCCGTCAGAGCCCCCGTCGGCCTTGCAGGCCCCCGTCTGTGCGCAGCCTGGGTCTGCCTGCCGCGGCCTGGCTCTTTAGGAAGCTAAAAGCAGCCCCGGGGCGCCGAAGAGCAGACACTCTCCGCCCCCTCACCCGGAGCCGGAACACGAAGAGCGCTGTGTCTCACCTGCTAGCGGACAGCCTCTGCATGCTACATTCGCCGCCGGGCCGAGCTGCCTAGTCTTGGTAGATGCTGACCTCGGTGTGGCCCACGCCACAAGGCGAGGTGCCCGGGGCAGCCCACAACGGCTGTGCGTCTTACTCTCTGACCCTTCACGCCAACGTGCGTGCCCACCCTCTTCTGGGATGGCTCTGCCTGACTCTCCTTTGCCAGTTGGGGGACAAGGAGCGGGGCATGGGGAGCACTCAGACTATGTCCTAAGGATGTCGCTGAGGCAAAGGCCCTGTCCCAGCCTCGTGTCGAAATAACTTCTTTTCCCACAGTCTCCAAGAGCCCAGGAGCCCACAGTGACCCCCTTCTATTCCCTCCCTGCCAGGGGCTCCGTCCTCAACCTCCCTGGGAGAGAAGGCTCTTCTTTCAGGCAGAGGCCTGCTGTGGCACACCCACGCGGGCCACAGGGACCCAAAGGCTTTAGATCCATCAACAAACCCGTGACACAAAAGGGAAAAGCCGAGTCCTGAAAACACAACCTGGGGCTTCTGACCAGCTCCGGCTCAGGCCACAGAGACCGAGACGGTCAGGGGCCCTCATGGCCGCAGCGTGGGCACGTGGCCCCGAGGCCCACTGCAGCCAGCCCGGCTCCACGGGCCACCCTCGAGCAACACTGCGCCGGCACATGGTTTACCTTCCTCTGCTTGTGTCTGGCTCGCTTGGCGGCTCGAGTGCTGCTCACGGGCTTGGTCTCTGAGCTGTTTATGAACTGTAGCAAGTCTTCCACCCTTCGATGGTCAACCACACTCTCTCTGTCCGAGAGCTGGTCCGCCTTTTTAGGCTGCTCTTCTTTCCTCTTGGTCAGCCGCAAACGGAGCTTCTCCCTCATCTCTGCGTAATTTCTACTTGTCGGCGCAGCTGGAGGCTAAGGCAGTTAAAGGAGAGCGTGGCTGAATGAAGCTTCAAGTTTTAATGATGCTGCATATTGCAAATTTCAGAACCTATCTCTAAAGATGAAAGTTTTCTTATTACTCCAGTAATACACAGTTCGTGGTGAAAAATAAGGAAAACAAACAAGTGGCACCAACAAGGAAAAGCTGTCCCAGAGTGACCCGAAGATTAGTTCTGGCACTGACCCCTCAACCTTTACGTGTTCACAAAAACTATGGTAAAACATGTACAACTATGTACACAAATGGACATTTTTAAACCAAAAAAGAAAAAAAAAAACACACATACGAATTAACCTACTCTGTACATATTATAGTGTGATGATCTTTTCGTGTCAATAAATGCGTTTGCAGCATCTTTCCATCCCTTTGTGGGTTTCTTGTTCAGTGCCAAAAGGGAAAAAGAAAACTGCCCTCTACCCCACTGCCAACATTGCTTCCTGACACTGGACACGTGTGTGCACACGTCCAGCCAACGCAGACAGAACAGAAGTAGAGAAAGAGCAATGGCCAGCCCCCACCCCCCGCCTGCCCCACCCGCCCCGCCTGCCCCGGGGCCCCACGGCCACCACCTGCTCCTACGGACAGACCGTTCGGGGCCCCCTGGTGCACGCCGCGCAGCGAGCGCCCCACCGCATGGCCGCGCAGGGTCTGGACCCAGCGATTCCCACGGCTGGCTGTTCAGACGGCCCCCGGCTCACAAACAAATGCAAACCTGCAGACACGAAATCCTTGTAGGCAGGTCTCTGGGCAGATGTTTTCCATTATTTCTTTAGCAGAAGCACCAGACCGCACCGTGACCTTAAGCGCACTGTGCATGGGGCTCGACACCCCGGACGGCGCACCGCGGGTGCCGCCTGGGCCGCGGCGCCCGGCACTTACCCCGCCGTGCCCGAAGAACTCGCAGTAGCAGCAGTCACAGTACTTGCCCTCCTTCTGGTTGGTGGAGGTAGACGTGCTGGAGCTGTGCTCAGAACAGCTGTCCTCGTCGGCGCTCTCGTCCCCGTCGTCCTGCTGCGGGTCATACACGCCGTTTTCGCAGCGGTGGCCCTCACAGTCGGGGTCGCTGCAGAACCACACACGGGCCGGTTACGCGCAGCTACCCCACCCTGGGAGGCCCACGGGGGAGGTGCCATGCGCAGGCGCGGGGGCTCGGAGGGCACACAGTCTCTCCACTGTCCCTCCCGCCGCGTCGTGGCTTCAAAGAGGCAAATTCGAAGGTAACAAAAACCGTCTTTTTAAAACAAGCTGTTGAATGCTTGTATGGTTCTTTACTCAACACAGAACAGATGCAACTTAAACACCCAGCCCCCGTCCCCCCCATGCTGCCAGTGGTGAGGTGGTGGTCTGCTGCACCCACCCGTGGTGGCCCCGGCCTGAGGACGAGAGGTGCGACCAGTGTCCTCCCCACGACCCGCGGCCTCTGCCCTTCCCTGGCTTGCCGGGCTGCACATGGCTCCCTGACTCCGGCACCAGCGGGAACCAGGCTCACCTGCAGACGCTGGGGGGAGCGCTGATGGAGCCATCGGTTGCGGGGGGCGGGGGCGCTCCCGGAGCAGGACAGAAGCTCTTGCGCGGCTCCACAAACCCGGGGGACGGGGCAGCAGTGCTGGGGAAGGACGGGGCTGCAAGACTTGCGAGGTGAGGCGAGGAGGCCGGGGCGAGCGCGGCAGGGGCGAGGGCGGGAAGTGGCGCCAAGGCTGTGGGGCTGTTCCTCGGGGCGGCCGGCACCGCGTGTCTGTGGTCCTCCTTGTTGACACCGTGGAACACCTCACCTGCACGCGGAGACGCAGAAGGGTCACTGACAGTGGAGCTGCATTAGCTTCTCTTCACTAAAGCTTTCTCTACCTCTTCGTGTGAAGATGTTCAAAGCTACACAAATTTTGAAGGAACAGCACAAAGAAGCCCCATATATACCCCTCACCTGGATTCACTGCTATTTAACATTTTGTCATGTTTCTTTCTCACACACACACTTTTCTGGCCTAACATCTGGAGGCTGCACTCACCCTGAACACCTCAGCACGAGCCCCAGGGGTCCCGACACTTCACTGTGTGACCGCATCCAGGATGTGTGCCGTCCACGTGACATTCCCACCCCGTCCCCCGCACAGCCCCTGTAACTCCTCCCCAACCCGGCCTCTTCTGACCCTTTTCCTTCGGTAACACTGACATCACCTCAGCTGAGCACAGCTGCCCACCAGTCTGGGCTTACGGTGTTACGTCAGAGTCAGCAAAGACGTTTTGGGCATGACTCCTGCAAAGGGTATGTTGGATCCTTCCCGTGTGACTGCCTAAGAGGCCCCTCATCATGTGAGTCTGTTCCATGATGGTGAGGCCACATCTGTTCCGTGGGCAGGTGATCCGCCAGTCACCTGCGGGTGCTGCTCGTTCCCCAAACGGATATCCACTGTTCTCAACGACCAGTGGGGACGCTCACCTGGACCAACGGTCACCCTGCTGGCTGCACAGTGGCCTTCTCTGTCTGGCATGTCTATCACAGAGCAGCTTCCCTACCCCCCATCTCCTTTCTTAACACCCAGGGGATTCTTGACCCTGTGTGCTGTCGTCCATCCTGTTATTCTTTCCGATGCTCCAACTGTCCTGACTTTGGCTAGTGAGTGCCCTTAGAGCCAGCTCCTGTGTGCCTTTGACCTCTGCTTCCAGACCCCTGCTCCCTGTGCTCATGCCAGCGTGGGGAGCCACACCCCCTGCACACCACAGACGCAAGTGGCGGCAGGGGCTGCACCCCAGGCGGGCCAGCAGCCCCATCGGCTCACTCTCCACCAGGCCCCTGCTTTCAGAGGACTAAGAATTCCTCCGTGTGCCCCGAGAGCAGTGACCTCTTCCTCTCACAGAGTGACAGGTCCTGAGAAGAAAGGCAAGCCAGCGTGGCAAAGCCCCAGAGGAAGTTCGTGGGGCAGTGCAACTCGGGCCCGACTCCCAGGGGACGTGCTGCCTGTGTGCGAGCATTCTCCAGCGTTGATTACTACACCAGGCCTCCAGCCACGCCAAGGACAAGGCGATCACAGAGATGCTGCGGAGGAAGCGGCAGACTCGCTGCGCAGCCCCGAGGGTTCCCGCAAGCTGGTGGGCCTTACCTATGGAAGGAGGCCTCTTGGACGACACTTTGAACTGGCTGTTGCTGGACTGCACCGTGGTGGCCGTGCAGGACACGGAGGAGGTGGCTGACGACGTGGCCATCACAACTTTGTTTGCTTCCATGAAAGCATCTTGGAAATTATACAAGCATTTCTTTTTTGCGGCGTTTTTTTTCTCCTTGCTCTCGGAAACTACAGGTGTTTCACCGCTAGACGGAGGTGGAAGGGCTTCGGGTCTTGTTTCTGAGAGTGTTGGTCCTAATATGTCACTCCCTTCAGAGAAGAATGGGAGAAGTAAGGCTTCTAGGAATGTGTCGCTAAAACCTAAGGGACGTCAGCTGACTGAACTCCTGACACTGGGGCTGCTACCGAAGCTGGGACTTCACTGGGAGGATACAGGTCAAACAGGTTTTCTCCAGGAAAAAAAATGTATTGAGCACCTACTATGTGCCAATCCCGTGCTAGGTGCTTCCCAAAGTGATTTTACTTGTCTTAAAGCTACTTTCAGAGCTTGGTACTATTAGTCCCATCCTGAAGACAGAGAAACTGAGGCTCAGAGAGGCTAAGCAACTTGCCCAAGGTCACACAGCTAGTAACCCACTCCAAGCACAGATGTCAAGTGTAGCCTGCTTTTCTGAGCACATGCAGGGTGTGGGTGTGGGGCCACCGTGGGCTCTAACCACGTGAAGACAGAGATAAGGGTGCAACCAGCCCCTCTTCAGGTGCACCTTTCCCTGCGCCTGAAATGACAGCTGTACCTGGGCAGCCGAGAGCTGGGAGGAAGGAGCTTGTTAGAGGGGACAGACCCCATGTAAGGTCAGTCCAGCACCAGAAAAGGAACAGAAGTCACAGCACTGAGGTGGACGGTGGCATAGCTGCAAGGGCCCTGCACACTAGGCTGAGTGGCTGCCACCATTGTCTGAGCACCACTGGCAGAACACCGAGGTCTGGAGACAAGAGGCTCAGCAGCGCTGGGGCACGGGGAGATCCACCGTGCGCAGGGCCCCGGAGAGCCCGCTGTGCCGGGAGCAGCCTCAGGGTGCCAGCACCTTGCTTTGCTCCGTCCGGGCAGTGGGACTTGGCTGGCGGTGGACGTGGGTGGCTGGGGCAGCGGGACGAGGCCGAGGAGGCTCCCAGGAGTGGCGGAGGCGGGAGACCGACTAGCCTAGGGCTTCTACTGGGGGACCGCGGTAAGAGAGAGAGCAATCCGCCCAGCTCAGGTCATTTTAAACCTTTAAGAAAGTTTTAACAAGTTCCTTACCAGAAATTGTATCTGGCAAGAAAGTGCCAGGATTCCAGTTCTTATCATTCATCACTTCTGATCCCCAAAGACTTATAAATTTAGAACTATTCCACTCTGGAGTATTCCCAAAACAGCTTGGATAAATATGGTCTTGAAGAGATGCATTGAATACCTGATGCTTATTTGTGTGATTCTGAACAGGTGCTGGCGGTAAAGCCTACAAAAAAAAATGTTCTAATCACTTATCAAAATTCATATTCTGCTTACCTATGTAGTTAAACTACAGACAAGACAACCCATGACTGAAAACCCTGTGGGGCCACGCTCACTGTGGGCGGACGTCCCAGGCTGAATGCGTCCCGCAGAGCGCGGACTTGCTCGGCTGTCACACTATGTGTGATTGCTCACATGTGAACCAGGCGTACATTTTCAAAGCCGCTGATGCTACAGGGCATCTACCAAACAGACTTGAGACAACTCAGCACCTTACAGCATTCCTTGCTTGGCACAGTCTACGTGTGGCTCGCCTGCGTACGACTTGCTCCCAGAGCTTAGTCTCATCTGACATTCTAAAGATCACTGCTAAAAAGTCAACTCTGGAATCACTAATAAAAAATGGTAAAGCTCTTAAACTGTGTCTCACACCTGGGCCAAGTGCCGTGCACGTCTAAGGAACTGTGGATTTTACTGGAGCCTGGAAGCAGCCCCTGGGCCCTGCTGGGGCAGACTGCTGTCTGAAGACACCAAGGGAGGGTGGCTGGGTCCACACATTCACTGAGTGACTAGCTGCTGGCTGCCCCCTGCACAGCCTAGGCGTCCTGGGCCCCTCCCTCCATTGGCCCATACTGCCAGCCCGGGCCTCCACCGCCTGCACAGACAGGCCCTGCATACCCCGCGGCTCACGCCAGCCTCCTCCCAGTCCTCTCCCTCACAGCAGCCAGAGTGAGCTTTTGGGGAGGTCGGTAAGAGTGAGTCACTCCCTTGCTTGGGGTGCACCGATGTCTTCCCACCACTCTTCAGATAAAACTGAAAGTCCTTCCCATGGCCTGACCTACCCCTGACCCTCCTGTTCCCCAAGCTTCTGGGCACAGGATTTCCCTGGGTCCTCAAATCCAAGCTCCTTCTTGACCCTGAACTTTCCTTGTGCTGTATCCAGTTTCCAGAACATCCTAACCTCAGTCCATAACCTTGCTGACTTACATTCATCCTTCAGGCCTCAGCCTCAATGACCCTGCCTCAAAGAAGTCATCACTACCGCTGCCCTCACCATCCAGCACCCAAGACCAACGTGGGCTTTTACATTCAACACACCTAAAATCCACAATTTTCCCTCTTAGCACTTACCACAGTTATAATCCAAGACTCACTGGTCGCCTGCTGGTTGAAAATCTGCCTTCCCTCAAATGAGTCCTGGCTCTGCTGCCCCCAGCACTTGTTGATGCGGGCACACATCTTCCCCTCCCAGCAGCACCCACTGCGACGGGCCTCCCCCCCACCCCCCCAAGTGCCCGCAGAAGCTACAGGCCTGGTGCAGGGAACAACACCTGGGAATCTCATCCTTGGGGACACAGGACTGGGCCCCGAGTGCCGTGAAGTCAACTGGGAGAGTTCGGGGAGGGTTCCCAAGAGCAGAACCTGAGAGGCTGGCTGGGGCAGAGCTCAGGGAGGAAGGGGGATGGCGCCACGGACAGCTGGACCGAGCCGGACAGGCTGCAGGGCCCGAATCAGAGGCCTCGCTGCCCAGCCTCGGCCTGGAGGGGAGAGGCCAGCACAGGAAGCAGTCAGCCAGGGCCTGAGAGACAGGAGGCAGTGGTAGGGGAGCGAGGGGGGGTCCGGGGCCGTCAGGACAATCGCTGGGACTATCGGAGCAGGAGACCGAGGCCACAGTCCCTGGGAGGTGTGGCCAGTGACAAAGCGGGATGTGAACACCTGTCCTGTTCTCAGCCTTTGGGACACACAGCCTGATGGGTTTGGACGCTAGCTCCCTGTTTTACTAGCTGTGTGACCTCAGGCAAATTACTCAATCTTTTTGTGCTTTAGTTTTCTCATCTGTAACTTGGAAATACGGATCTCCAGGGGTTGTGGTAAGACTTAAACTGGACAATGGGTTCAAGTGTGCAGCATAGTGAAGGCTGAGGGGGACCGTCACCACTTTGTGAGACTCGTCCCGAGACACACAGCAAGCCCGCCCTGCCCGTCCTGGGTGCAGAGAGGAAGCGGGGTCACTCGCTCGGGCAGCTCAGCACACCTGCTGGCCTCAACGGGCTCAGGGAGGCGGAGGGTGAGAACGGCGTGGACACGCAGGCTACGAGACAGGAACTAGCAGAGGTCTGTGCACCCAGGATCGAGGCGGGAGCCTAATCTAGTTGCTCCAGCAGGGGAGCCCCAGGGCAACAGTGAGGAAACCAAAAAACCGTATTTCTACAGACACCAGTTTCCACAAAGGAGTGACAAACGAAGAGCTGCTTTGCTGCGGAGCAGTCGATGGTAAGTGACAACTAAGGAGAAGGGATTCTCAGCGTTGAAGACCTTCCGCTGAGGGCAGAGACACCCAGCAGGCAGAAACCAGCCTCGCGGGCCTTGCACAGCTGAAGCACAGTGGGCTCCGAAGCGCCTCACTGCTTCCCAAGGCCCTCCCACCTCAGGGCTGCCAGCTGACTGCCCTCAGCTCCAGGGAGCCTGGCTGAGAGCCGGGACCGGCCACCCGCACGCGTCCAGAGAGCTTGTGCGTACCCTTCAGAGCCCGACCCGGCATCACCGCCTCTGCAAAGCCACCCGACAGGCTCTTTCAGCCACCCTCCCTCTTCAGCGTGACTCCCCTACTCTGCAGCGACAGCTGCTCCTAAGGCACACTGTGGCGTTCTGAGGTTCTGACTTGATTAGACTGCGAGATCCCTAAAAACAGGAACCAAGGTTCCCTGGTTTGTATTTTGCTAGCATGTAGCACAGGGCCTGGCACATACTGGATGTTCAATAAAGGCTGAACAGACTTAGAGGGATGAGGGAGCACAGCTGTAAAGCTGTAATACTGAAAACGTAACTTAAATTCACTTCACACACTTCTTCAGAAGCCCATTTTCTCAGAACAGCAGGTCCAGTTGTAGAGACCAAGGGAGCAGTGGGTCCGTAACAAGCAAGGAGCGTTTATGTGAATGCTTTCCCACAAGATGGTTACTCGACTCAACAGGTGTGGGCTTCTTTTAGAAAAATATAGGCCCCTGTCAACGAGACCATTCTGGGCCATGCCTCACAAGCGATTTAGGCGTAGAATTAGTCTCTCAACACGTGGACAATGCTGTTGAATTAGAACAGATTTATTTCACTCTATACAAATCCACATGGGTTCATGTCATGGAAGTTTTTGAATGGTTCTCCGCTTTGAGACAAAAGTGATTCACAGGAAAGTAAAAGTTTTGCTTTAAAGAGGAGCTCAGACAAATACACACTAACGGATGCCTTCTGAACACCTTCGGTGTCTATGCAGGAGCCGGGAGAGCCAGGCTCCACCGCACACCAACCACCTCCACCCTGGACACCGTGAACACGGCTGCCAAACACAGCCAAGCGGGCAAAAGACCGAGTCACTGCACGCACGTGTGAGAGGGGCTGCCAACAGGCACATCCCATGGAACGGGAAGCTGGATGAGTGACTATTCTGTTTCTTCCGACGTTCTTCAATATTCCTGCCAGAGACAGTAAAGAGGCAAAAGCACCACGGTTGTTTTGGTCTTACTATTTCTCAGGCCAGAAGAACTGAAACGGCCTCCAAAACAAAATACAGACTTAAGATCAGCGTGACCCCAACTGTGGTCTGTTTCTGTCCCTGTTTCCCACAGAGCTTTTTTCTCCCTCCAGCTCCAGCCTGAACTGAGACTTGCCCCCCATGTCTGACTTCGTCACTTCTGCAGTGGTCGGGCCTTAATCACCCCATGAGGGAGGCGCAGAGGCACACGGCCCAGAGCCACACGGGAGCCACTCTGCCGGCTCCACTCACCCGGAACTCACTGAGGGCCAGGATGTGGTGACCATTTTCAACTACTACTCATGCTCCCAGTGGAGAGTTCAAGCCATCTTTCTACCTTCATTACCAGGCCCTTTGCTAGTGTGACGACTGCTTCAGAACGCGGTTTCCAGATGGAAACAACACAGCACTTGGAGCTGGAAGCCCTGGGCTTCTGAACCTGGCCCCGCAGTCGCGGCCCTCCACTCCTGGGCCATGTAGGGCGGTGGCTGGCAACGTGCCCTGTGAAGGAGCAGGGCTGGGGGTGGGGGCGCAGCCCGCCAGCTCATGTATACTCTTCCCTCTGAGGCTGTGCGGTCCCCCTCTGCTTGGGCTCTGTCCAGGAAGGCGGACATGACACTCTAGATCCTAGAAAAACAGCACCAAACACCTTTGTAACAAGGTGCTGAGCCCTAGTGAAAGCTAGGGAAATCTTTCACAGAACTGATCAGAAGAACATGGTGAGAAAAACAGGGCCAGGCGGAGGTGTGGGGAAGGGAGGACTGCCCTAAAGATGCACACACCATCATCACAGTGACGGGGGGCAGCAGTTCCGTGGTCCTTCTGGAGACTGTCAGGAGGAGTTCAAGGGTCCCAGGTGGGGTAGCACCACACTGGTACCTCAGCCCCTACTGAGGGCTTTGTGGTTCTCACAGAGTAAGATGAACAAAACATGACCTTGTGAAAAATTACTGTACATCCAAAGAAACAAGACACTCACAAGGAGCAACAACAACAACAACAAAACAGATTCAGATCCTCAAGGTTTCACTTAAACAGAGAACTACGTGTAAAATGCTTAAAGAAAAGATGAAAGAAAATGTGATCAAGGAATAAGAGAACACAAGAAGTTGCTAATATACATTAAAAATAAATTAATTAAAGCTTATAAATCAGAATCACAGCTGGAATTAAAAAGTCAAACTTAAGTGGCATGGGAGACACATCAGAGTCGCTTAACTGGAAGGCTGATGCAAAAGGGGCTCTCTGGACAGACCGAGGGGTGAGGGGCGAGAAGACAGGCTCAGGATGCAGAGCAGGGCGGGCAGGATGGCTGCGAGCAGACAGCATCACAGCAGAAGAGAGGAACGAAGATAAAAGGGCTCAGCATCATCAGACAGGGATTTAAAATGACGAAGATGATGAGGGCTCCATTTGAAAAAGCACACAATGGGGGCGCCTGGGCAGCTCAGTCGGTTGAGCATCTGACTCTTGGTTTCAGCTCAGGTCATGATCTCCAGGTAGTGGGATCGGAACCTGTGTTGGGCTCCACGCTCAGCAGGGAGGCTGCTTGAGATTCTCTCTCCCTCTCCCCTGCTCTCTCTCTGTAAAATGAATAAATAAAATCTTTTAAAAACCAGCACACAATGTGCAAGAACAAACAGGTAACGTGAGCAGTGAGATGGACTCTCTAAGAACGAATAAAGAAAGCTAGAGATAAAAACACTGTAAGAGAAACAAAGAGCACTTTTGATGAACTAATCATCAGTGGATGGGGCACAGCCAAGAATCAGTGAGCATCAAGACATGTCAAAAGAAACTCCTCAAACTGAAATGCAAAGAGAAACGAGAATTTAAAAGAAAAAAACACCCAAAACTAAAAAACCACCACCACGGACACAAAATAGGACAAAACATCCAAGAGGTATGGGACAATTTCAAAAGATAGTAAGAGGAACTGGAATACCAGAAGGAGAAGAAAGAGAAAAGAAAGAAGAAATATTTGAAGGAATATTGGCTGAGAACTTTCTAAAATTAATGACAGACACCAAACTACAGATCTAGGAAGCTCAGAGAATACCAAATGGTAAAAACACTCCCAAACCTACACTTAGGCATTTCATAAAAAAAATGCAGGAAAGCAAAGACAAAACAACAACAACAACAAAACCCCCAAAAACCCTTGAAAGCAGCCTTGGGGGGAAGGGGGGAGGGAGGGTAGCCCTGAAGAATTACAGAGGACATCTGGTCAGAAACCATTCAACTAAGATTATTGAGTGAAATTTGTTTACAGTGTTGAAAGAAAAAAACCCCACCAACCCAGAATTCTGCATCCAGTGAAATTATCCTTCAAAGGTGAAGGAGAAGTAAAGACCTCCTCAGACAAACACACACTGAGGGAACTCATCCCCAGCAGACCTGCCCTGCAAGAAACGTGAGGATGTTTTCTTTGGACAGTGGGAAAATGATAGAGGTCAGAAACCTGGATCTGCATGAAAAAAGGAAGGGCGATGGGGAAGGCATGAGTGCGAGTGACGTGGACTTATTCCTGACTACTACTAGACCCACAGGGTAACTGTGTGCAGTGCGAGCAGTAACAATGTACTGGGGCCACTAATGAACAGACACAGGAGAAGAGCAGCAGCAAGGTCACACTCTCTGTGAAAAGGTACCCATACTAACATGAAGCAGAACACCGTTACCTGAAGGGGGACTCAAGTTAGTTAAAATGCATATTCTAATGCAACTGCTAAAAACACTTTTTTAAAGTATAACCAATATGCTAAAGACAGGAGATAAAATAGAATCAGAAAACGCTTGACTAAAAGTGGAGAAGGCAGAAAAAGGAAGCCTCTGGTAATGAACAGAAAACAGAACAAAGGTTATTATTAACCTAAACACATCAAAAATCACTTTAAATGTGGCTAGTCTAAATATAAAAATGAAGACAGAGATTATCAGAGTATATTAAAAAAAACAAGGGGCGCCTGAGTGGCTCAGTCGGTGAAGCATCTGCCTTCAGCTCGGGTCGTGGTCCCAGGGTCCTGGGATCGAGCCCCGCATCGGGCTCCCTGCTCCGCGGGAAGCCTGCTTCTCCCTGTCCCACTCCCCCTGCTTGTGTTCTCTCTCTTGCTGCGTCTCTCTGTCAAATAAATAAAAATCTTTAAAAAAAACTCAAAAGAAACTAAGCCCCGCCTAGAAGTGTCTACAAGAAACCTACTGGGAGTATAAAGTCCCCTTTAAGTTAAAAGTAAAGAGATGGAAAAAGAGATGCGGTTCTAGTGCTAACGAAAAGCTGGAGCAGCTACATTAATTTCAGACACATCAGACCTCAGAGCAAGGAAGATTATCGGTGATAAAGAAGGGCATTCCATAATGATAGAAGGGTCAATTCCCCAGGAATGCATAACAATTCTAAATATGTAAGCACCGAACAACACGGTGCCAAACTGCGTGAGACAAAAACTGACAAGACTGCAGGAGGAGCAGAGTCTGCTGTTGGAGTTGGAGTCTCCGACACCGCTCTGTCAGGAGCGGGCAGATCCAGCAGCAGGTCAGGAAGGACATCGCTGGACTCGGCAGCACCGTCAAGTCACCTGCACCTGGCGTACGAGTATTAGCCTGCTTCATCCAGCAGCAGCAAAGTGCGCATACTCTCAAGCTCGCCTGGCGCGCTCACCAAGACGGAGCACACTAACACACCCAAAAGAACAAAAGTCACACAATGTCTGCTCTCAGACCACAGTGGAATTACAGGAGAAATCAGTAACAAAAAGACAGCCGAGAAATCCCCAAATATTTGCAAATAAAATTCCCTGCCATACAGTTTTAATTTTTGTCTAGAATCTCGTTACTGTATCTTTCTCCTGTAACTACTTTTAACTTTCAAATAACTTGTATCTCAACATATAAATTAAATGTATCACTGGTACAAAGACATTTGAAAACAAAAAGGGTCTTCAAGTTAGTCTAAGTTCAAAAAAATTTTTTTCTATACTATTCATCCCAAGCATTTTAAGTACTAAATATTTACCCACAATGGCCAGAGTATGAATTAAAATAATTAGAACTACAATGACATACAGTCCTAAAGGCAACAAATGCCACCTCACCAGAGCAAAAATCCCGGAAGGCCTAGAGAACAAAAACACGGAAGCAGTCGAGCTCCACACGCACGGCTGCCCTCGGCGTTCAGCACCCAGCTCTGCCTCCCAGCCACATGTGGGGGATCCCACTGAACAAGCCGGCTCTGACATAACTGAAAACAAGTGTGTGTGTTCTCTAGAAGGGGCTTCTCCCAACTCCTATGGGGTTGTGAACACACCATGCATCAGGTATACCATGTATTCACAGTATCCAACTAAGTCAAACTAACTCAACACAAACTAATTTTGGAAGACCTGGCGAGTAACAGTGCAAGCCTGTCTAGAGAAACAAACATTTTTATACGAGATTCAAATGAAGTATTTTGCCAAATGCATCTCATTTTTCTAAATAAATGTGGCATCTAGCTAATGTATTTTAAATGCATCAGTGGGGTGCTGGGGTGGCTCTGTCAGTTAAGTGTCTGCCTTTGGTTCAAGTCATGATCCCAGGGTCCTGGGATTGAGTCCAGCATTGGGCTCCCTGCTCAGCAGTGAGCCTGCTTCTCCCTCTGCTCTTCCTCACTGCTCTCTCTTGCAAAAATAAATAAAATCTTACAAAATAAAATAAAATAAATGCATCAGTGAACAGTCCTGACATCAACAGCAAAGTGACTGAAATAAAAGCTTAACTAGCTTGTTCTCTGCATTGCCTTTCTACCCATGAATCCTCCACATCTATCTACTGGATTAAAGTTTAGAAGGTATTAAATACATAGATTTTATATACAGATGATATTCCCCCAAAATATTTTTCTTCTCCTTTACCCTTTTATGGACTACCCATAACATCCTGAGAAAAGGCCAAAAGTCAGGGGGAAAAAAAAATCAGTTTTTAACTGGAGTGTCCCAATAGCCTTTTGGAAAAATCAATTTCACTACTTTACTTAAAGATGCTTAGGAACTGATTCTCGAATAGTTTCTACCAGCAAAGACATTATAACAACATTCTGTACTCTCTCCTAGAGGTGGCTCCCAGGGAGGAGAAAGCAGTTGTATTCAGAATGGACAGCTTCCCCACCCGTACATTCACCCAGAGGGAAAGAGGCCATAGAGACCAGGCCGACCATGAAGATATATTCAATCTAACAAAATTTAAGCATAAATGTGGGCAGTTACCAAGTACTTATTGCAATAGAACATGACAAACTGATTCTACTCTATTCTAAATCAGTGGTTAGATGCCCCTCCCCAGCAAATAAACAACAAAGCCCACTGATGGGCTATATACATCCCACTTCACAGCAAACGCCCCTTGGGGGAAGAAAACGTTCCTGTAGTCTGAAAAAGCCCCTTTCATCCCATGTCCTCCTCCCAGTTGAGAATCACCGTTTTAAATAATAAATCTGTAGGGTTTGGGGAAAACTAAAAATTTCACTGCAAAGTTTAAGCTACGAAAATATAAGCATGGGGTTCTCTGAGAAGAACTACATAAAAAGCAAACCTTTTCAACATGCTCACTTCTCTGAACAGACTGGTCTGGGAGGCCCTTTCCTTTGTGCCTGGCAGCCGCCTCCCAACAGCCTGCACGGCTTTGCGGCCTTCTCTCCATTACGCTTAGGATTCCTCCTTTCAGCCTGTGCATTTCGACGAGCCCTTCGTTTTCGTGCTTAGAGAGCGTAATCATTTCAGACACCATGGAGCCCGGCTAGTGTCAGAGGACTCGTGCCATACTCACCACATCTTACCCAGGCAACATTAAGAAAAAGAGCCAGGCCCCAGGAGGCCATGAGGAAAGAAGTGAACTGGTGTCTGGGTGAGCAGAAGAGCTGGGTGTGCAGTTCCCCCAACTACAACCCGTTACACCATCACTTGGAAAACTCTTTATGTTTTAGTTAATTCTGAAGGAGTAAACCATGACTTTCATGATTGTTTTTACAGCTGTGAAGGTTCAAAATTCTGAGAGCTTAAGATTATGGTAAAAGGAGACATCTGCAGACCTTCCTATCAAGAGTAGACTTGGTCCTATCCAAGTTGCCAATTTATGGATTTTTGTTTGTTACAATATGCACTTCTTGTAAGATCTTAGTGACAGGTGAGCTTCCAGGCCCTCTCTGCCCTGACTTACCTTACTGTGTGTGAAGGGGGGCGCCGTATACAAGGTGGGGTGGATGAGAGGGCGGGGCAGGTGTGGGACCGCGTGCAGAGGCACGTGTCCATGGATGTGGGGGTAAAGATGCAAAGCAGGGTGGGTGGGCTTCTCTGGGCTCAGGAACTGATGGCCTGGGGGGAGGGCTCCTGCGGTCATTGCTGATGCCGTGAGTCCGGAAGCTTCCTGTTTACAAACATGACATTCACAAGTGTTCGGAGCTTGTTCAGGCTAAAAGAAGAGAAGAAAAAAAAAAGCACTCGCTTATTTAGTGAAACAAAGAATGGTGTGAATTAAACTAAAGTCAGTCACATTCTGCTGAGCAGTTACGTGGCCACTACAAAGAGGACAGGGCTCATGGGACACCTCGAGTTGTCCAGAGCCTTCCTTGTAAAGTATAGAAGGGATCCCAGGAGCCTGGGACGGACAGAAGAGATGCACATCTCGCTCCCCGGCCAGGTGTCTACTGAGGTGGCAACCACACCCATCTGTGCCTGTGCCTGTTTGTGCAGGAACAAGGGGACTGGCAAGGGTGGCAGACGGGAGGGGGGAGCTGGGCTGAGGAGGACGGAGCTCTGGTGTGGGCTCCACGGAGTCACGCAGCTCATGAGTGGTTACATGGAGATGGTTACATGGAGATGCTGTGAGAGGCACCAGAGACGGGACTCATCGAGGGTGACATGAAGCAGTCAGTGGCTCCTCTCCCTCAAAACAAGGGTAAAACTGAAAGCAACTGTCAAAGCAACCATTTGAGGATCTGAAAATCAATCAAAGGGAAAAGGCAAATCAAGAAGTATTTATTCATGTCAATCTGCCAGAACATCAGGTAAGAGCAGCAGGGGCCTGGTCTTCCTGCCTGGGACTCTTCCCAGTCCCAACTCCTAGCAGCCCTAAAAACAAACTAAAACAGTATGGAGGTTCCTCAAAATGTTGGAAACAGAGCTATCCTACAACCCAGCAATTGCACTCCTGGGTATTTACCCCAAACAAATGTAGGGATCCGAAGGGGTACGTGCACCCCGATGTTTATAGCAGCAATGTCCCCAATAGCCCAACTATGGAAAGAGCCTAGATGTCCATCGACAGATGAATGGATAAAGAAAAGAAGATACGGTGTGCACATACACATACATACACACAATGGAATATTATGCAGCCATCAAAAAGGGAAAGAAATCTTGCCTTTGCAACGACGTGGATGGAACTAGAGGGTAGTATGCTAAGCGAAATAAGTCAGAGAAAGACAATTATCATATGATCTCACTGATATGAGGAATCTGAGAAACAAGACAGAGGATCCTAGGGGAAGGGAAGGAAAAATGAAACAAGATGAAACCAGAGAGGGAGACAAACCATAAGAGACTCAATCTCAGGAAACAAACTGAGAGTTGCTGGAAGGATGGGGGTGGGAGGGATGGGGTGGCTGGGTGATGGACATTGGGGAGGGTATGTGCTATGGTGAGCGCTGTGAATTGTGTAAGACTGCTGAATCACAGATCTGTACCTCTGAAACAAACAATACATTATATGTTAATAATAAAAAAGAAACACCATGGCACACACACACACAAAACAAAACACTACAAAACCCCAAACTAAAAAGATCCAAGAATCAACAGCAGAATTTAAATGGTGCACTAAAAATTTTAATACAAAATAAAGGAGTAGGGGCGCCTGGGTGGCTCAGTCATTAAGCATCTGCCTTCGGCTCGGGTCACGATCCCAGGGTCCTGAGATCGAGCCCCACATCCGGTTCCTTGCTCCACAGGGAGCCTGCTTCTCCCTCTCCCTTTGCCTCTCTCCTTGCTTGTGCTCTTTCTTGCTATCTCTGTCACTATCTGTCTGTATCAAACAAATAAATAAGATCTTTAAAAAAAATTAAAAAAAATAAAGGAGTAAAGGAGGAACAGAGGAACAAAAACCATGAGACCTATGGAAACAGACAACAAAGTACCAGTTGCACATACCACAGCAACCATTACATTAAACCATAAATGAAGCCCTCCAGACAAAAGGCAGAGATCGATCGACAAGACACAAATACAAGACCCAACTGAAGGATTCAAAGACAAATCTTAAATTCAAAGATACAAAGAGGCTGAAATTCAAAGGATGAAAAAATAGGTAACACGCATACAGTAACCCGAAGGCAGTGGGAGCGACTCTGAGTCCATGGGATGAAATACTCTTTCTAGATGAGAAAAGCTAGCGGAGGAGCATCTGATAATGACAAAAGAGCCAATCTGTATCAAAAAAGGGGTAACAATAACACAGACACACCTTCAACACCACTGTCCCGCAAGAGTAACACACACACACCGTCAACGACACTCTCCCGTAACAGTAACACACACACCTACGACACTGTCCCGTAACAGTAACACACACACACACCCCCACGACACTGTCCCGTAACAATAACACACACACACCCTCAAGGACACTGTCCCGTAACAGTAACACACACACCCCCCCAACGACACTGTCCCGTAACAGTAACACACAAACACCCCCCACGACACTGTCCCGTAACAATAACACACACACACCCTCAGCGACACTGTCCCAAACACACGAATCAAAATCTGGCTGATCTGAAAAGGGAACAGACAGTCCAGCAGTGATATGTGAAGACTTCAGTATGTCTCTCAGTAATTTTTAGAACCAGACAGAAAATGAGGAAGGATCCGGAGGACTGGAATAATGTTATAAATCTGACCAAACTCTCATTCACAGGACACTCCATCTAACAAGAGCAGAACACAAATTATTTTCAAGTATATATAGAACATTATCTAGGACAGACCAGATTTTAGGCCACAAAACAGGTCTCAGTAAATTCGGAAGTTCTAAAATCCGTAATCTAAGCTTAGATTCAACAAGCTAGAAAGGGAAGAACAAACCAAACCGAAAGTCTATGGAAAGAAATAATGAAGATCAGAATAGAAATCAAAGAAATAAAGAGAGAAACAGAGAAAAAATTAACAAAACCCATTTTTTCTTTTACAAAAATGGACAATTCTTTAGCTAGACTGAGGGTTTAAAAAAAAGTAGACAAAATTACCCAAGTCAGGAATCAACATCACTCCAGACACCCTGCAGAATTAAAAGAATCATAAAAGAATACAATAAACAATCTCATGCCATCAAAGTAGACAATGTAGATGAAATGGAGGAAAAGACACAAAAATTTTAAATTCAAGAAGAAATAGAAAATCTGAATAAACCTATAACAAGTAAACAAAATTTCAATTAGTAATTCTGTACCTTCACACAAGAAAAGACCAGGCCCATGGATTTCACTGGTAAATTCTATCAACTACTAAAGAAATCTCAATTTTAGACAAATTTTTTTAGAAAACAGAGGCAGAATTAACACTTCCCAACTCATTCTACGAGGCCAGTATTACCCTGATAATCGAAGCCACACAGAGACACTTGTATACAAGCACAGATAACTAACGAACAGTATCTTTTATTAACATGGATGCAAAAATCCTAACAAAAGATTGCAAACCAATCTGGCAACATACCAAAAGAAAAAAAAAAGTTTATACACCATGACCAAATGGGATTTATCGCAGGAACACAAGGTTGGTTTAACATCCAAGAATCAGGGGCACCAGGGTGGCTCAGTCGGTTAGGCATCCGACTCTTGATCTCAGCTCAGGTCTTGATCTCAGTGTCGTGAGTTCAAGCCCTGAATTGGGCTCCACACTGGGCTTAGAGTCAACTTAAAAAAAAAAAAAATCCAGAATCACCTGATACAACACACTACAGTGAAAGAATGAAGGATGAGAACCACAGGAACATTCTAATAGATACAGAAAAGGCATTTGGAGAACCCAATATACGTTCATGATAAAACTTTTAGGACGTGAGCTGACAGGATTTATTCCCTCAGTGTGGTAAGGCCGTCCATGGCAAACATGCATCATCCTATTCAGACTGAACGCTTCCCTCTGGGGACCAGGAGCAAAGGCAAAGATGGCTGCCTGCATCGCTTTTGCGCAGTGCTGCACCAGAGGTTCTAGCTAGCTCAGTCAGGCAAGAGTAAGACATTAAAAATATCCAGATTGAGAAGGAAAAAGTAACACTGCCTTTATTCACTAACAACATGATCTTGCATGCAGAAAATCCAAAGGACTCGAACCAAAAAAAAAAGGGGGGGGGGGAGAAACCAAAGAATAAACAAGTTTAAGCTGCAGACCACAAGATAAATACTTGAAAATCAACTGTATTTCTATATATTACCAACAATCAATTGAAAATTGAAATTAGAAAGTATCATTTACTACGGAATCAAAAACATCTAATACTTAAGAATGAATTTAGGCGCCTGTGTGGCTCAGTTGGTTAAATGTCTGCCTTCGGCTCAGGTCATGATCTCAGGGTCCTGGGATCAAGTCCTGCATCAGGCTCCTTGCTCAGCAGGGAATCTGCTCCTCCCTCTCCCTCTGCTGCTCCCCCTCCTTGTGCTCTCTCTCTCTCAAATAAATAAAATCTTAAAAAAAAAAAAAGAATTTAAGAAATATGTTCAAGACCTAATGACTAGAAATTTTTTTAACCGCTGAAAGAAATTAATGATGATTAAAATGGAAAGATACAGCACATTCCCAGGCTGACAAGATTCAATTTTGTTAAGACAGTATTTTCCCCAAACTGATCTACATCATCCCACAAAGAAAAGAGTAGGCCCAGAGGAGTTTGCTGGTGAATTCTATCAAGTATTCAAGAAATATAATCTCTATCAAAATCCAGGCAGGCCTTTTTGTAGAACAAGCTGATTCTAAAACTTACATGGAAACACGAAGGACTTTGAAAAGCCTGCACAATTTTCAATAAGGCCCACCAAGCTGGGGGGCAGACCCTACCTGCTGTCCAAACTTACTACAGAGCAGGTCACGTACACTATGCGAAAGGACCCAGGCCAAATAAGCAGAGCGTGCAAAGTGTAGACAATAAACACTTGTATTTAGAGCCCTGTGATTTTCAGCAAACGGCTGATGCAATTCAGTAGGAAAAGAGAGGGTCTTGTCAACAAATGGTGCTGGGACACCTAGACATCTTTTGTAAAAAGATGAATATAGACCTTCTCGTCACACCATGAGCAAAAACTGAGTCAAATGACCCACACCTTAAGTGAGAGCTAAAGTTGTAAATCTTGTAGAAGAAAACAGAGTTTTCTTGGATATGACATCAAAAGCATGATTCATAAAAGGAAAAACCGAGGAACCAGAATTCACCAGAATTAAGAACTTTTGCTTTTCAAAAAAATGCCATAAAAAAACAAACAGACGGGCGCCTGGGTGGTGCAGTCCGTTAAGCATCCGACTCTTGGTTTCGGCTCAGGTTGTGATCTCAGCGTTGGGAGATCAAGCCCCGAGTCAGGCTCTGTGCTCAGCAAGGAGTCAGCCTGGGATTCTCTCTAACTCTCCCTCTGCTCCTCCCCCTGCGTGCACACGTGCATGTACTTTCTAATAAGTAAAGAAATAAAATCTTAAAAAAAAAACCACACAAACCACACAACTAACAGACATGCCACAGACCCAGAGAAAATCTCTGCAAATCACACACTTAATAAAGGACTTGCAACAACATATAAAAAAGTCTGACACCTCAACAATAAGATGGAATGGGAAATGAAGGGAAGACAAATCTCAAGGGGCTGCCATTTCTCACCAGACTGGCCAAACCCCAGGACTGTGACGTCGTCCTCTTCTGGGGGGCAGGGGAGGCCATCACACTCTGACCCAGAGAAGCCACCACTGGTGACCAATCGTAGGGACAGACCTACTAATGTGGGAGAGGTCAGATGTGGAAGGTTGCTCACCGAATAGCAGAGAGGGAAAACAGGGAAGCAAACACAAGTGCCCATCAGCAGGGACTAAAAAGAAAAAGAGAACTCCAGTGTGTCCACCTGCTGATGCACGTCCACCTGCTGATGCACGTCCACCTGCTGATGCACGCTCACCTTTGGTTAACAGAAAGACAGAGATCCACCAGGAAAAAAACCTCCCTCACAAAACCAACCTTTTCTGAAACTTTAACATTCCATTATTTTATTTATTAAAAAAACCCTCCCTTTGCTTCTTTACAGACAAAAAATACCTCTACTACAGCTAAATGTCTGGAGTGACTCTGGGGAGCTGCAAAATCAAGACTGTCGAGTGGATTCAAGTGAGAGGAACAAGATGAAAATGGGGTTAGGAAGCACGTCTGTGTATTGATAAGCCTGCCTCAATCCTCTCCAGCTCTGATCTTCAGAAGCTATTCAAGATAACATAATTTTGCATTCAATAATACTCATGTTTAGAGAAAATATACACAAAGAAAGACACCCTTGGCACAGCACAAGGTTTGGGAGAATGAAATCATACCTGCTGAGTAGGGTAAGATGGGGGTGGACTGTCCACTTTACTTTCCTCTTTCCTGGGACTCCCATTGCTTAGAGCTACGTCCTGCGTTGGGGCTCCTGGCGGCTCCCCACTGCTCTCGCCGTCTGCCTCTTCGTCATCAGCCTCTGAAGAGCTACTACTGGTACTGCTTACCTGAGGGGACTTTAAAAACAACCTTTGTAATTTATACTTTTCAAAATGGAAGAATTTTAAAAAATAAGACACCAGATACACCACTTTATGCCATTTATTATCACTATGAAGAAGCCGTGCCCCTACCTCATCTTTCAGAGCCATGTTTTCCCCGCCACCATTCAATTCGCTGTGGATTCCATTCATATTGGCCACCACCTCAGTATCATCGTAGTTACTCAGTGGATAAATATCAGCAAATTTAGCTGACAGTGGTGCAACGTCTTCATCATCACTACAACTGAGACAGGCAGAGATGGTCACCAGGAGTCTGTTCAGCCGGCGGGGGCGGGGGGAAGACAGTAAGTGAACCACCCACTAAGCACAGACGTTTCCTGTACGTACACTGTTCTGGTTTACAAGAGTATTACACTAAGCACCACACATACATCGTAACATCTCTTAGTAACCTGAACACCGGGGGAAAATGCCTGAAAGATTACCATTTGTGCTATTTAGAAGAATGGAAAACAAAACGCCAAAAGAAGAAAAATATCTGGGAAACTGCCAAAATTTAATCAGATTAATAATTATTGCATTTCCATTTGGCTTGAAGTGCCTTGGTATATAACTGTTTGCTGCCATTTCCAAGCAGACACAATTAATTTTTTATTAAAATTAAAGGGGGTACAAAGAACCACCAAAATTTCAGACGTAGCCAGATGAACAAAACTTTAAAGGCACATAGGTGACAAAATACTAAAAGGTTTTTACTACAAGGCCAGATCGCGACAAGTCAGTCGTGACCACAATTAGCAGCTTTAACAAGACATCTAAACCAATGGGCAAATGGAATATTTACTAAAAAAAAAAAAAAACGTAGGCAAATTTCAAGTCTGTAGCCCACGAAGGCCACTTCAAACATATGCTTTTCTGGTGCATAAAAGGGTGGGCACAGAGCCCCCACATCAGTGCAGACTGTGCAAGGCACGGACCATATGTGGTCACCCCGCTGTGACCATAAACATGCCTCTGAGCCCGTCTTCAGCTCCGCATACAATAACTTCCAGAAGGAAAAATCCTACGAACTAGTGATCTCTTGGATTTAGGAGAGTGTCCAGAATTGCTAAACTCAGATGTCCTTTCCATTTTTGGAAAAAGAGGGAAGACCATATGTTGTGATCTGGAGCTCACCAAAGTTAGCACCCCCAGCACCCACCAGGTGAAGGCTGCTCAGGTCTCCCGAGGCCTATGGCACCAGAGGTGATGGAACGTGTGGCCTTGGTCAACACTCACACCCACTCCTGAGACATTACCACCATGATTCACAGATGAGGAGGCCGAGGTTCAGACATGAAGTGGTTAAATCATTTGCTCAGTGTAATGAAGGCAAGCTTCAACTACCCTAGAGCCCATGAAAACTAGAGAGCCCTTAGTACAGAGACTCCGGTCGCATGGTTCTCTTTAACCAACTTAGGAACGACACCAAGAAAGAGATAACACAAACCAAAGGTAACCGTGGAGGCTTTCAAGTCCTAGCAGTTCATGTTTGGAAGACACTAATCCCAAGCTGCGGAAGGACCAGAGAGAGGTGCAGCGCAGCCGCAGGCAATCCTGGCCCACAGAGAAAGGTACCCACAGCCCATTTCCTCCACCACTCGACACAGCCCAGGAGCCCACACCTGACATCGGCAGCTTTTCCAACATAAATTTTTATTAGACCGTACTGCTTAATTTCGGTATGTTTTTGTAAGAGGTTGGCAAACAGCTAGCTGGGAAACCCTCGACCCTCCTTCACAGGCTCCCAGAAAGAGCACACGATATCCAGGACTAGAAAGCAGCTCGAGCTCAACAGAGTCATGGCGTTCAGACCAATCCCTTCGGAATTATTTTGTGTTTTGAGACCAGATCTGTATCGAGGACTGCAAGACTATGAAGGAAAGCCTCAGAGTCGTCGGGAGAAATCCAGATGGAGGTGGTGAGAAATCTGAGAGTCACTGAGCAGCCCAAGGGCGGGGCAACAATCCCTCCCACCGGGAACCGTGCTGGTGTCCATCACCTCCAGGGGGCTCCCGACACCCGCACACTCTACGATAAGCAAAGTGCAGACCTAAGTTTACCTAAATAAAATAAGAACACACATCCATGTGCAACCCGTCCAGAAGTTAGAGTGGAAAGCCTCAACAGATGACAGGGTCACAATTCTGAAGAAACGTGGGGACCACTCACCTACAGTGTGAATTGGCGACAGCTGCACAGCCACCTCGCTCACACAAAATGTACTTCTAGATAATGTGGGAACACGGAAAACAGAACCTTTCAATCGCTTGCTAAAGTGATCATCTGAGTTTTTAGCAAGACATGGAATAAGCATGAATGCTGAACGGACAATGAGGCGGAATGAACTTCGGGCTGATCACCCTCAAATAAAATGAGGAAACGTGAAGCCAGAACTGAAGAGACACTTCCCTGCATACCAACATGGTTTTTTCTTCACCGGCATTTATAAATTTACTGTATTTTTTTTTTCAGGTAGTGAAATAGTGTCAAAGTTTGGGTTTACTGATGTTGTATTTTAAAAATTGCTTAAAAAAATGAAGGATCCTTTTTCTTGAAAAGCACTATAATGATATCTGTACTTCTGTAGACATTACTTGTCCATATTTCTCATTATTGGATTACGTAAATTTTTGAAATCTTATTACAAAGTCACAACTTACAAAGTTGGTGCAGAGCCATTGTCTGTGAGGATGAGTCTGGGATGTTGCTGAATTGTAATGGGAGAGCTGGAACCTGACCCTGAGCTTGCTGAGGACACGCTAGGTGGGCGCATCTCAGTGAGATAGTCGGGAGCAGAATCCACTTGGAGGGGCAGCTGGTGACTGTGGATGTCGCCAGTGACGGGGGGGTCCATGACACCACAAGTGAGGATGTGTGAGAGGCTGCAGTCATCACAAGCACATCTGAGTGGGAATGAAGGACAGTTACCCAGAGAACCAAGAGAGGTCAGACCATGCTCTGTCAGGGTCAGCGCCTCTAGTGAGGTCGTGGGTCCCACAGGCCCGCTGCGCCCACACGACAGCGCAGGCTCACCTTCTCCTGTAGTTGCAGTTGGGGCAGTCGGGCATGCTCAGCCGGGAGGACAGCATGTGCCTCATGGCGTCCGTGAAGTTGTTCTCACCGGCGACTGCTTTCTTATTGGTCAGCTAGAGGAAATCATCGAGAGAGGTTAACTTTGCAATATATACCCCCAGGCAGGTGGTTCAGCTTCTCAGTAATCATGGTTGTGTGCGCCATGCGCACTCAAGCCAGTGGCGACAGGTTCCTAGAATGGGCCAGGGCCAGGAAGGGGCAGTCCTGAAATGCACAGCAGCTGCAGGCCTGAGCCTCACAAAGGCGAGGGAGCAGTAAGCCCCGGCCGGTGCCTCACCAGCAGACACCGAGCCTTTACCTGGAATCAGCTGTGTGCTCGGTACTCACTAGGGACCAGGAGCGCAGAGCTAAACCGCAGCACCCCAGGAGCTCAGACCCTGGAACCGGAAATCACGATGTGGGAGGTGCCCTGGCAGAAAAGCAGCTCAGCAGGGAGCCAGGCCCACGCAGGGCCAAGCAGAGGAGGTGGTGTTGGTAATTCTGTCAGAGGCAAAGAGGGCATCCAGGTGAGGGGCAGAGCACTGAGCAAGGAATCACTGAAACACCTCCGGAAGGCCTGGCTGACCCTGGGCTGAGTAGGAGGGAGTCTTGTGGGATTTGGGGAGGTGGGGGGGCACCGTGCGTGACAGAATAGTGGGGATGCACACAGGCCTGCACACACAGAGCTGCAGCACCAGAGTGCCCACGAGTTAAAAGGCATTTGTGACACATGACAGAAGCAGGCAGGTGGGAGGAAGGCCAGCTGGGGAGGACACCCACTGCAGAAACAAGGCCCAACACATGAAGGGTGCAAATCCAGGGGCCACCTGGAAAGTGGCACCCAGACTTCCAGTCGATAAGGCCAGGATCTGGATTTCAGAGAAGAAACCTACAGACCAGCTCTGGCAATGAGATGGGTGGTGCTAGAAGGGCCAATTGATAGGCTAGAAGCCACACAGGAAAGGGGTTGGGGGGGGGAGCAGCTGAACAAGTCCAGTGTGGGTACCCAGAGGAGACCACAGGGGTGAGGGCATGGGTATGGGGGCTGAGGCCAAGGGCCACCAATGCCTGAGGAAGGCCGAGGGGGGGCAGAGCTGGCTGGAGAGAAAGTGGGAGAGACTCCAGCTTATGGACAAGGATCAAGGGAAGCAAGCTTCCAAAGTCGAGGGCCCTGAGGCCATTGGGCAAGGTCCCCAGGCAGCCACAGCAGGGTGTAGAGAGGTAGGGAAGAGCCTGTGGGGAAGGAGGGAGTGAGCCGTGTTGTCAGCAGCTACACTGGGCCCGTGTGGGGAGGCCTGTGAATTGGGCCTGAGGGGAACGGGCCGGCTCCAAGCTCCATGACTTCACGGCACCAGCTGCCTCTGAGGAGGCCAGACAGCAGGGACCTGGGTGGCTCTGGGCTGGCATGGGTCACTCGGTAAATGGGATTTTCCTCGGGGAATACAGAAAAGAAAGAAATGGGATAAGGGAAATAGCTGATCTAGGATTAACAACACTCTCAGGAGCAGACCCACAGTGTGGCCTTGGAAAGGTGGTGTTTTTCCCTGAGTGGCACTCCTGCGCTGGTGAGCAGCCTCCCCACAGCCTCACCTGCTCTTCAATGAATCGCCTCTGTTTGAAAAGCTCCCAGTCCTCCGTCAGCATGCGCTGTTTCGTTTTCATTGTCATCTAGGAAGGAAAGCAAACAAAACCTTAGTGCCAGCAAGGGCCAGCCAGGCGTCTTCAAGGGGAGATTTCAGAAACCGTGCACGTGAGAAATTCCCCCTGCAGACAGGGGAAGGCACGACACAGACCCGAGGCCCTGGCGCTCCACCTCTTTCCCAGGCTCTCTGCTCACGTGGGAAACAAGGAGGAGCTCACATTTAAAAAAGAAGTGAAGATCCCCAGAGCTGAATCTGTCACTGTGATCAGCGAGCATTCAGCCTGTACTGAATGCCCATTATGTGCCCTGCCTGTGCCAGAGATAAAAACCTGAAGATGCGCGACTCTGAGCAGGAAGAGCCCCGAGCAGCCTGAGCTGGCGTGGACGGTCACGCCATGTCTGTGGAGCCAGGCCCACAGGGGCAGACTGGGTACAACTCCACCCCCACGGGGCCCCTGGCAGAGTCAAATGCACAGAGACAGCAAGTGGATGGGGGAGCCAGGGGCTGGGGGACGAGGGTCAGTCGGGGAAGGTGGAGGGCGGGGGCATGAGCCACAATGGGAACGGACTTGCTACCACTGAACTGGCTTAGAAATGGTTAAAATGGTACGTTTTCTGCTATGTGTATTTTACCACAATTAAAAAAGAAACCAAACTGAGAGGAATAGGGAGTTAAGAATGGGCTCAAGGTACAGTTTTACTGGGGTGGGGGAGGCTATGAAATGATTAAATCTTGATGTTTATCTACATGTGTTCTTGTAGTTACTGAAAACTTAAAAATGACTCCTAACAAGAGAAATACGGGATATGTATCTTCCAAATTATTAAAACAAAAAAAGGGGGAGCGGGACATATTTAATCCCACAGGCAAGAAAGTACTACCAATAAACCCTCCAAAACAAGAGTAATTTCAAAAAATAAACTCATGCATTTGAAAAAAAAATTTACACAGTTTAAACTATGAGAGAAGAAATCCAAGTTGAAATGACAGTCCATGGACATCATGGACAACGAAGGCCCCACAAGTCAGATTATAGATGATGTACTCAACACGTAGAAGAAAAGGTACAGGCTTCAGTGACCTTACGAGAGAACACCACAGGGCAGAAGACTGAGAAGTATGTGTTCCACGTGAGAAGCCAAAGAAACAAAACGAGAAACCAATAAAGCAGGAAGAAATTAAAGTAAAAGCAGAAATTATTGGGAAAATAAGCAATGTGCTCAATAAACTCCAAAACACTGGTTCTCCAGAGCCCCTCCCAGGCTGACCAAAGGAAGAAAAGGCCCCATGGAAAAAGTGGGCATGAGACAGGACAGACACAGGCCGAGGGGGTTTCCTTTAAACCCCAAGAGGAAGTATCTGGACAATGTAGACTTTCATCTCCACAGAAACGCTGTGAGGAGGGGCTCACGGGCTATTCTGCTGGGCCTGCCCAACGAGTTTTAATAGCTGAGTCAACATTAAAAAGCTCTTGAGATTTCGCCAAACAGCCCAGACTTTGGCTTCTGTGGACCTCTCTGTAGCTCTGAGGCACTCTGCCCTTTGCTGCCCTCCTGGTCGAGGGCAGGGCATTTCTCCTTTTGGCGCAGAAGGTGCTCTCTTGGCAAAGTGGGCCAGGGAGGCAGGCCAGGGGAGCACAGCAGCTCTCCCGCAGCCACCGCCTCCCCCCGCTTTGATGGCTCACCTCTGAGCACAAGCTCGTCATCCCCTGTCTACACCATGTGGACAATCTCCTAGGCAAACATCAATTTGTGGAACTCACTCAAGAAGGAGAAACCCCAAAACAGATGCAAAGTGTAATGTGAACAGAAAAGATGGTACAAGACCCATGGTCCTCGTTCCTCCTCCCTGCAAAAATAAATCACGCCCCAGGTTTTAGGGTGGGTTCTATCAAACCCTTTATGGAACAGAAAATTTAAACTATTCCTGAAAATTAAAAAAAAAATGGGAATTTTCTCAATGCATTCTATGGGACTAGCATAACTTTCATACAAAACAGACAAGGCCTCAAAGACAAACACTCAATGATGCCTCAGAATACAAACCCAAAAATCCTAAATAAAATATTAGCTACTTAAATCTAATAATGGGTTAACAGAATATAGATCATAATCTAGTAGGCTTTAATCCCAGGAAAGTAAGCATGTCTCACCATATAATCAAACTCAATACCTATTCCTGTTTTTTACAAAAATCATAACTTAAATAAGCTAGAAAAAAGGAAACTTCATTAATTTGCTAAAAACTCACCAGTACTCAGGGGAGGCATGTGACTTTAGGGAAGCATGCACAGCTGTCCCCATGAGGCCAGAGCAAGAAACGGTGCTACCAGCCACACTCAATCGTGACGAGCTGAAGGCTCTAACCGAAGTCAAACGAACTGCAGATGCCAGAGAAGGTGAGACAAAACTACTACTCGTAGGAGACGTGGCTTCTAGAAACTTCGAGGCAGCTGACTCAGAAACTTCTGCAGCGTCATTAAGGGCGCTGGGTGGAATGCCAACAGCCAAACGGCCCCAACCCCAGAAGCCCCGGGTATAAACTTGATGGGATTCGCACAAACTATAAAACCATCAGAACAGAAAACACGACCTAAACACAGAAATGTGCACCATCTTCTGGGATGGGAAGACTCAATGCTGGTGCGAGCTCCCCCTTTACGTCATGTATGTCTGCTGCTTTCAGGAAAAAAATTTTCCTCTTACAAGCAGCAATTACTGTCACACGTTTAAAAAATGATTTTGGAGTGGGGTGCACCTGGGTGGCTCCATCAGGTGAGCAATTCTTGATCTCAGCTCAGGTCTTGATCTTGGGGTTGTGAGTTCAAGCCCCATATTGGGCTCCACGTGGGCTGGGCATGGAGCCCACTTAAAATAAGATCTTTTTTTTTTTTTAATTTATATAACAGGAAATATTTTTTTAAAGATTTATTTATTTGAGAGGGAGAGAGACAGAGGGAGAGTGAGAAGATGAAGCAGACACGCCCCGAGCAAGGAGCCCGACACGAGACTCGATCCCAGGACCCTGGGATCATGACCTGAGCCGAAGGCAGACGCTTAACGACTGAGCCACCCAGGGGCCCCAAATAAAATAAAATCTTAAAAAACAAAAGATTTTCAATGAACTAGATATTAGGAAAGGTAGTAATTTCTTTTAGTACAGAACCCAGTCCAGAGCTGTTCAATAGCTAACAACATCAACAGAAACCTCCTCTTTGACCACCCCTCCAACATCCTCTGGGATAATTTTTCCGAACACTTGGGTGCCTGCAGGCTTATGTATGTGTCAAACAAGTAAAGGATACATTTTAAAAAGCAAAAACAAGTGATCTCAAAGCTGTCACCCATGTCCCACCATCCATACTTATTTATGAATACTCAAGTTATTTACAGATGTTTTGAAACCTTGGAATTACTAATAATTTCCAAACTATTAGATTCAAAGTGACTGATGTCCATCCCAAGGATTCCAGAATGACTGGTGCCCTCTGGATGCTGCTGAAATTGCTCAGTTTCCTTAATTTGTATTAATGGCATCATGATTTCTTCACAGGTGAGTGAAAATAATACATTTTCTGGTTGCTTTAGCAAGGACAATGGTTTTTTTTCTTTGTGGGAAAAAAAACTTTTTCCTTTTTCTTATTGTGGTAAAATATACGTAACATAAAATTTACCATCTTAACCATTTTAAAGGATTTTATGTATTCATTTGAGAGAGAGAGAGAACACAAGCAAGAGGAGCAGCAGAGGCAGAGGGAGAAGCAGACTCCCCGCTGTGCAGGGAGCCTGATGCGGGGCTTGATCCCAGGACCCTGGGATCATGACCTGAGCAGAAGGCAGATGCTTAACTGACTGAGCCACCCAGGCGCCCCACTATCTTCACCATTTTTAAGTGTACAGTGCAGTGGTATTAAGTACATTCACATCATCGTGCAAACACCCCTAGCATCCCTCCCCAGAACTTTCTCATCATCCCCAACTGAAACCCTGTCCCCATGAGTTACACTTTCTGTCTCTAGGCATCTGACGACTGTAGGTACCTCGTATCAGTGGAGTTCTGCAATACGTGTCCTTTTGTGTCTGGTTTAGTTCACTGAGAGTAATGTCTTTAAGGTTCTTTCGTATTTTTAGTCTTCCATTTCGGTCCTTTTCCACCCTGAGTTAATTTCTGCATATGGCGTGAGGAAGGGCTCCAATGTCGATCTTTTGCATGGGGATGTGCAGTTTCCACAGCACCATTTGTTGACAAGATTGCCCTTTCCCCTTTCAGTGGTCCTGGCACTCTTGCTGGGCATCATGTGACCACGTGAGAGGGCCTATCTTTATGTCAACACCACGCTGTTTTGATTGATACAATTAGTATTTTGTTGAGGATTTTTGCATCCGTGTTCATCATGGATGGTAGTCTATAGTTTTCTTTTCTTAAAATTTCTCTGACTTTGGTATCAGGGTAAGGCTGGCCCCACAGAATGAGTTGGGAAGCTTCTCTCCCCTTCAATTTTTGGGAAAAGTTTGGGAAGGACTCGTGTTAATTCTTCTTTAAATGTTTGGTAGAATTCAGCTGTGAAGCTGTCAGGTCCAGGGCTTTGCTCTGTTGGGAGATTTCTGATTACTGATTCAGTCTCCTTACTAGTTGTAGGTCTAGTCAGACTTTCTGTGCCTCCGTGATGTAGTCTTGGTAAGTTCTGTGTTTCCAGGAATTTGTCCACTTATCGATTTGTTGGTGTACAACTCTTCACAGGACTGACAATCCTTTTTATTTCTGTAGAATCGGTAATAATGTTCCCACTTCATTTCTGACTTTAGGAATCGGAGTCTCTCTTTTTTTTCTTAGCCCGTATAGCTAAAGTTTTGTCAACTTGGATGATCTTAATGAACCAGCTTTTGGTTTCACTGATTTTCCTCTATTCTCTCATTTGTTGATCTCCTCTAATCTTTATTATTTCTTTCCTTCTAGCTTTGAATTTAGTTTGTCTTTTTTCCCTAGATCCTTAAAAGTTGCCAAGTTAGGCTGCTGATCTAAAATCTTTCCTGCTTTTTATTGTAAACATTTAGAGTTGTAAGAACATGTACTTTTTAAAGAAATAAATTTAATTTCAGCTTTACTTTTTAAAGTAAGACTGTATTTTCCTTCCTAGAGAAAACAAGTAGTATACTGTTATTTTTAAACATAACCCATTTTCGTCAAAATAGCAGTGATAACACTGTATTATATTCCTAAACAGACATTTACTTCAGGTACAAATACATCAAGAAATTACTATTCCCAAAGGTTTTCTCAATTTTAGCAAAGTCTCACTCAGTCTTTCCTTTCTTCTAAGAGTTGTCTTGGGGCATTTATGTGTTTAGTCCCAGTTCAACCGGAGAAACAAAGAAAGGATTTCTGAAAACTAGAATTGCCTCTATATCCATCATACCTATAAAGTGAAATGAGAAAGAGTCCACAGGGTCTGCAGTAGGGCAGGATGCGGACACCCCTGACCCAAATCCCAGAGTCTCAAAAGTATAATACAGAGGGGCACCTGGGTGGCACTATCAGTTAAGCATTCAACTCTTGGCATCAGCTCAGGTCATGATCTCAGCGTTGTGGGATCAAGCCCCACGTCAGGCTCTGCGCTCAGTGCAAAGTCTGCTTGAGATTCTCTCTCCCACTGCCCCCATCCCCGTGCTCTCTTCTAAAATAAACAAATAAGGGGCGCCTGGCTGGCTCAGTCGTTAAGCATCTGCCTTCGGCTCAGGTCATTATCTCAGGGTCCTGGGATTGAGCCCCACATTGGGCTCCCTGCTCCGCGGGAAGCCTGCTTCTCCCTCTCCCGCTCCTCCTGCTTGTGTTCCCTCTCTTGCTCTTTCTCTCTCTCTGTCAAAATAAATAAATAAAATCTTAAAAAAAAAATAATCTTTAAAAAAAAAAGTATAGTACAGAGCTCTGTCAGTGCTCCCTTATTACTCCTTATACCCTGTTACCTTGAAAAGGGCTGTTTTGAATACCTCTTCCTCTGCCCCACCCTCCCAGGGTTTTAGAAAGGCAGGCAGGCAGGCAGGCTGGGATGCCCTCTGGAAGTCCTGCTCTGTGTCCCCAAGAGGCTCTTGCTGACAAGGTGCACCTGCCCTTCAGGCCCCAACTCCAAGAGGAGCGCCCTGCCTTCTTGGGCCTTCCTCCATCCCTGTTAGCCACCTGCCAAGCACAACCAACCATGTTCTGTCTGCGCTCCCTCTCTAGACTGTTAGAGACAGAGAAGGGGCTCTGAGCAGCAGAGCATTCCGTGAAAGGTTCCTGAAACTATACGACTCAGCAGCTCCCCAAGGCCCCATAAGCTCTTGCAGGTGACAATAAGCCAGGTGGCAGCCTACGCAGGTGACACCGGGTGTGGCCAGGTTAATGCTGACCCAATGAACAGCTGCTGCCACCCCCAGGTGGCTTAGCTGGGTGAAGGCCACCACGGTACCGCAGGGCCTCAGTTCCCTCTGGGAAATCAGTGACCAGACTCCTCCCAGCTGTACCACCGCCTCCACCCCCCGTCACCCTGGCCCACGTGCCTTACCCACGGCAGGTCCCGGTAGCACACACGCACCTGCTCGTCGACGTAGGCATCGATCCTTTGCTGGCACTCCAGCCACTCCTCGGCCACCCTGTGCAACTCCTCTTCGGAGCGCTGGTACCGCTGCAGCAAGGTGCTGTACGTGTCCTCGTTGCACGTGTCATGTGTCGTGGTTCCCAGCCTAGGAAGAGGGGCATTTCAGCAAAAGAAAGGGGTCTGCTTGCTTGTCACCTCCTTTCTCAATGTGACGAGTGGGACACCACCACACACCACACAAGGCTGCTGCGAGGGATTAGCAAACACATATGCAAGGCACCCCAGAGCAGAATCTGGCATAAAGGAGAAGCTCGAAGAAAAGCGAGCTCCAAAGAAAAAAAAAACTAGTGGTGAATAAGACTGTTCTGTAAGACTAAGGCCTTGGGGCGCCTGGGTGGCTCAGTCAGTTAACTGTCTGACTCTTGGTGTCAGCTCCAGTCACGATCTCTGGCTCAGGAGATCACACCCCGCATCGGGCTCTGCGCTCAGCGGGGAGTCTGCTAGCCTCTGCCCCTCCCTCCGCCCCTCCCTCAACTCCCTCTCTACATAAATAAATAAATAAGGCCTAGCAGTTCACTTCCCTGAATGTGGAGTCGTAACCTATTTTTCCCCACTGAAATACACTGACCCAGAAAAAACACAACATTTAATGAGAAATACAAAACTTGGACTTGGTTTTCAAATTAAGTAAAACAGAAAATTTGATCCAATCAAAGAAATATACTTTATAGTTTTATTTATTCTACATTATTTCTTGTTAAGAAAATTGGTAAGATGGCAAATGAGGAAATGAACCAAAAACAAGACACACATACAGTAAACAATGAGGAAAACAACTAGGCTTCTGGGAAAGAGACTATGGGACAGGGGGTGGCCTGGGGAGAGCAGAAAGCCAAACAGGGTGGCAGGGACAAGGGGGTGAACACACAAACATGTCATCAGACACTGCTCATTTTCTGAATATCTAAATACATTAATGCTGGAACCAAAACAACTGTAATAAAGGCATCTTGACAAGAAATTTCTAAATCAAGACAACATTTACAGTCACTCAAGGGCAAAAAGGCAACGTGCAGGAATGATCATCAGTGTCAACATAAAAACACTGGAAGCTACACATGGGGATCAGTAAGATATTTTATGGCACATCTAGACAAAGGGATTCCAGACAACTAGGTGCCTATTATGACGCTTACAATTACATCTCTTCATTCACATATACTTTTACTTACACATGTGCTTTGAAATAAACTATGCCCATGTTAAGTAAAGATATGATGACTATGGCATCATGTTTTAAAGATGTGTGTGGGGGTGGACATAAAAAAAATCTAGAAGCAGCACCGAATTCTTTACAGTACGTATTTCTCTTCATGATTTTCTGTATTTTCAGAGTTTCATTGTATCACAATCTAATAATTTTATAGTAAATATAAACAATACAGTAATTTTAAAATTAGGACCCTTTCAACGGGCACAAATGGCTTTCCCCCATCTCCACCTGTGGGTGGATCCCACCTGTGACTATTGTGTCCAACGGAGAAGCTGCAAATGAACTCACAGCTGCTGAACTTATTGGCACACATGTCCAACTGTGAAATCCATGCCAGGGAGAAAGCAGGCAGAAGCCAGGCCTAACCGAATAGGTGTTTGGGGGAGGCCAGAGACAGGAAAGAACTCGATACTGACCCACACAGTGACTGAGGCTCTCTCAAACACCAAGGCTGTCCTTCTAAGGCTGTTTCTGCCCCTCAGGATACAAAACTCCTCAAGATGCAGAATCCAGCGACTCTGAGGCTGCTCTGGGCTCTGCACAGCCACTGGGTGGCCGTTGGGCCTGAGAACACAGGCTGCTGTCTTGCTGCTCAGCAGCCCCCAGAGCGGACGCTTTCTCCCCATTCCTGCTTCCACAACCTTGCTCATTACAGATGGATTCCCATGCTTCACGCAAAGCCTGCCTTCTACATAATGCCACCCTGTCCCTCTTGTACCACTTGGAAAACGGGGATGTTAAGGGGGACCAGCACCTGCCTGGCACACACACCTCTTCCCCTTCTACTGGAAGGGAGAACTGCTCTCCTATACCGGGAAGCAAGTTCCATTTTGAGCTAATGGAGAGCAAAGCAGCCAGGGGTCCTGGGACGTCTTTGATGGGGTGATCAGAGCACAATGTGCAGGCAAAGGGCTTACATTCAAGATGACCTGGGCTGGAATCCAGACAGAAAACAAGGACTGTCCTCACGGTCGCACGACCTAAGTGGTTCAGCAAACAGGTTACTGTCTAAATATTCACTCTGTAAACACACAGTTGCGCCATGGACAGATCCTCACAGTAACGTATACTACAAATAGTGTGCATGTGCAACATAAGGAGAATGAAATAGAGTCAGTTTTGGCAAGTTTATTCACAAGCCTAATTCAACATCTCCCTAACAATTTCATGTATTTAAAATAAAAACCAGTTGGGCAATTGCTAATAATACCCACAACAACAAACAAGCAGACAGTGAGGCTCCTGGACTTGCCACAGGCATGGACACGAGTTTGACAAAGCTTCTGGACCCTCCTCCAGTTCTCAGGCAGCACAGACAGAAAGCCCGTGTGGTGCTCCCTGAGCGCACACGCCACAGGGACCAGACCCCAGGCCTCGCTGCAGGGCCTACGGCTCAGGTTCTCCAACAGGTAAACTATAAAAGAGAAAAAGGGTGGGGTGGGAGCCTGCAGGTTGAAGAATTACAAGAGACACGGGGAAAAGAAAGGGTGAGAGTCGATGCTTCACTGTGAGAGTCTCTGTCTGGGGTGATGAGGAAAGTTTTGGAAACAGACAGTGGTGATAGTTACTCAACACTGAATGTAATTAATCCTACTGAATTGTACAGTTAAACGTGGTTAAAATGGCAAGTTTCATGTTATAGTTTACCACAGTTTTCAAAAATTAGTAATGTAATATACCAAGAGCCATCGATTTGTACACTTTAAATGAGTGAACTGTAATGGTATGTAAATTATATCTTGGCAAAGGTGTTTTAAAAAGGAGAAATACTTCCCTGAACTAAGTTCCTTTACATAAGGTCAACCTCATGTAGATTATTTGTATTAAAAAAAAAAACAACAAACCCCCCCCCCACAAAAGATACATCAAAAGAAAAAGCAGGCAAGCCTATGGAAAGGCACACTTGAGTAACAGGAGAATAAACAAGGAAGGAGTGGCACCGCCGTGGCAGCTCCGGCAGAGGAGTCTGGGCTTGGAGGCCACACGGAGGAGGAACGGACTTCCCAGGGCCACGGCCAAACTCTCTGCTAACAAGTCCTTCAGCTGCACGTCTGCTCTGTGTCATCTTCTCTACCTATATTTTACTTTAATAATAAAGTTAAACAAACACAGGGCCAGAGACAGGGTTCAATATTAAAATACTCCCAGCTAGAGAATTTATGTTCTGGCCACATAATCTGTGGCCACAGATGCAACCATCACTTTAGGGGCTGGTATTTGTACGTAACTTGTCCCAAGTTTTGTCCCCAAACTTCCCCAAGTTGTTCCGTGGGTATCTGTACACTAGAAGCACAGACCTGAACTACTGTCGGGTCCGACAAGGGGATCTGCCAGGGACCCAAAGGGACTGTCCCTTCCAGTGCCACCAGCTCCCCTTGGGAGTGCTCTGCTTGCCTCCTCCCCAGCTCTGTCCCCGAGACCACTACTTCAGCTTGACCCCAGGATTAACATGCAAGATTAAAACGCTGCCAATCTTTTGGAATCTGACCATCATTTGCAATGAGTGATTAAGAAACACAGAACTAGGGGCGCCTGGGTGGCTCAGTCGGTTGAGCATCCAACTCTTGATCTCAGGGGTGTGAGATCAAGCCCAATGCCAGGCTCCACACTCAGTGCGAAGTCTGCTGAAGAATCTCTCCCTCTGCCCCTCTCCCTCGCGCTCGCTCTCAAGTAAATAATCTAGAAAGGGAGGGAGGGAGGGAGGAAGAAATCAATCTGGAACTAACGCACAGCCAAGAATGGAGTTTCAGGATACATTTCAGGTCCCTGTCACGCACCCCCAGTTGATGACAGGCCCATCAAACTAACTGGCTCACCAGAAAAAGAAAGCACAAGGCCCTAGAATCTTGCTGTAAGAACCCCCACCTTCCCAAGATGCACTCCCCCCCCCCCCGAAAAAGTGCCTTTTGGTGGATGTTAAACATCAGTGACTAGGGACAAAACTATGTTCTGCATTTCAAACTCATGACTTTGAATACTTTCCTGACCCTTTCTTCGGTGGAAGTGGAAGTCAGGACACTCAAGTCCCCATGTCCCACCATGGAACGTGCCAGATGCTTTCAGAACGGACACAGAGGAAAAGGGTAGGCAGAAGCAGGCTGTGGGGAAGGGGGATGCCGGGAGGGTCAGGAGCCAAGCAGGGCACTGGCCACACCCACACGACACTTTGTTCTGGTCTCTCTGCCCCCATCACCTTTAACCAACTGCTGTCAGGTTACTGCTTCTCCAGAGGGGAGGGTGTGAAGTGGGAACAGTTCTGACCCCTCAGATAAGATTCAAGAATACAGGAAATGAAGACTAGGTTGATACATGGGTTTCAAGAGAAAACAAAGTGGTCTGGAAGTCAACTACAAGAATAATTTATTTTCTTCAAAATAATTTCCCTTCTTTGTGAATCTGGTCCAAATAAACAATAGCATGGACATTTAAATAGAGATGACCATGGTCTGTGCTGCTATGAAGCATCTCTAGTACCAGACTCTGTTCCTACGCGTAAGTCCACGGGAACAGAAGCACCACGTAGCAGAACTGTGGAAGCGGGCGCCTGGCTCAGCAGCGCATGGCGACCGCAGACCCAAGGAGCCTCCTCCCAGTGGAGTCGTGTCGGAGTCGACCCACTCCCAGCCGGGTGTCCTCCACCCGCCAGCAGGGCAGATGTCCTGAGGACTGTGCTTGGCACCACCCGTCCTGGCACACCTGCAGAAGCCCCAGGGATACTCCACACCACTAAGAAGCGACCAGGCCGCGAACAGAGGCACTGAGGGAATGTTTGAGAGACACAAATCCCTGTGCTCAGTGCCCAGGAGCCCCCATGGCACCGTCAGGCCTGTTCTGGAGCCATCCCCTCTCCTCCGACACCCCCTCCCCATCTCCCCTGCACACCTGAGTGCCACAGCCATCTGGCCAAGCCTGAGTCTCGTCAAAGTAAAACTCTATGATTACCACAGCTTTTCCTTATTCACAAGGAATTTGTGGTGTTAAATCTTAGTGGCATTACTACTGAGTTTGTTAAAGTTTAACTGTAGTACCCTTGGGATTTTGAGTTTCTGCCCAAGCGATACTGTTCCCTGAGCAAGAACTTCCACACTGCGGTGGGGTTCCGACACACATATGCTACCCCACAGGGAGAAGGACCGTGCTGTCACACCACGGAGACATATGCAGATGAAGACCAGATACCTGATCTGCGACACCAGTGCTGGCAAGTTGCTCTGGAGAAGTGGCTCCGAAAAGACCAGATTTTCAAACAGATGCTTATTATGCAGTTCCCATGTCACCTGGAACTTTTTCAAGTGTTCATTTTCCTAGTTAAAAAAATAAATAAATAAATGGAAGATGTACTGAATTGATGAAGACTAAAAACTCCCCAGAAGGATCCGCTCGCCCCATCCCTCTTTGCAGGCCCAGAACATTCTGCAGACAAGGGGTCGCTGCTCCCAGTACTTCCAGTAGACACCCTGATGCAGACCTCTGGCCACAAGCACACGGGACCCCACCTCTCCTCCCTTCTAAATCCCTCACACACAGAAAGGGGGTAAGACACACACAAACGAAGCGACAGAGAGGGAGGAAGAAATGCACGTATGTGATGGTCATTCCTTACACTGTGCTTCCAAAATGCACTGAAAGCCCTACTCTGCAAACAATTTAAATGCATACAAATCTCTGATGTCAAAGGGCAATCACTTTCTTGCCTATCTTGAGAAATCTCCCATTCTGGTGGATGCAAATGATTTCTCCACTAGCGATATGCCATGAAAGGTCAGGTCTTCCCTCTCCCTAATACACAAAGACAAACTCATCAGTTACTTTAGATAGCTTTTAAACATTTGGGACTGTCCTGGCCATCAAAGACAGTGACATCAAAAGAAACACCCATTTGCCCTCAATACAAGGTGACCAGGATAGAGAGGGCACCTTTCCTAAGCACAGATCTTGCCACAAGCATATGCATGTGGGACTCCACACGTCCACCCGGAAGCTGCGCGGTGCTGTAGGGCTCCCTGTGCTTCAGTCACCTTACACCCTTGGGTACGTGTTCCTTCCTTAAACCACTGACAACTGGAGGAACTGCTTAGCATTAGATAGCAATACTCCATGAGATGGATTACTCGTGGTGACTACTTTTATAATTATTTACCTATTTAATTTTTTTAAAGATTTTACTTATTTATTTGAGAGAGAGAATGAGAGAGAGAGAGAGAGAGAGCATGAGAGGGGGGGAGGGTCAGAGGGAGAAGCAGACTCCCCGCCGAGCAGGGAGCCCGATGTGGGACTCGATCCCGGGACTCCAGGATCACGACCTGAGCCGAAGGCAGTCGCTTAACCAACTGAGCCACCCAGGCGCCCCGACTACTTTTATAATTTAGCCCAAGTGAATCCACATGATCGCACCTGCAGACGTTAGTAAACAATCTACACACACAGACTCCACTGTTTTGCCTGATAACTGGCTGGCATGGGGGCTGAGAGAACGAGTTAAAATAAGCATTCCCTGGGGGCGCCTGGGTGGCTCAGTCGTTAAGCGTCTGCCTTCGGCTCAGGTCATGATCCCAGGGTCCTGGGATCGAGCCCTGCGTCGGGCTCCCTGCTCAGCGGGAAGCCCGCTTCTCCCTCTCCCACTCCCCCTGCTTGTGTTCCCTCTCTCGCTGTCTCTGTCAAATAAATAAATAAAATCTTTAAAAAAAAAAAAAAAGAGCATTCCCTGTTCCTGAGCACAACCAGGGAGACAGAGCTGAAGGCACACCAGCGGCACCACTCCAGCACAAACGGATGCCAGCCCTTCCACCTGCAGGCCTCTGCTCACGCCCTGCAAACAGACAGAGGCCCCAAAAGGAACCTGTGACACCTGCAGAGAACCTCAAACCCTCAGTTCTGCCCACGTTTCCAGAGCTTGCTCTCACTCCCCCAGATGTGCACTTCAGCACCTCTCATTGCCATTACTCAATACAGGAAAGCTAGCCAGGGAGCTACTAAACTCCACCCGATTTCTGGAATGAGAACCTTGCCGAAGAATGTACTAAGGACGTGGCCACAGACGACATGTCAAACATGTCATGTGTCACAGACGTCAGCACAGACCACTCTGTGCAGGCACTGGGCCAGGTACAGGGACACAAAGTTGAAGCCAGGAGGCCCCTGCTCTCCAGGAGTCACCAGGGGATAGAGGAGTAGGTAGTGATCCCATTTATGATTTGTCTCTGCAACAAAGAAGATGCAGGAGCTAAAGCAGCAGTCAGACCAGTCCCCCCACCAGCTGAGGGAGGGTTCTGGGGGAGTGGCTCGGGAGAGCTGAGGGCTTGCCTGGGCTCCCCCATAAACCTTTGGGGCGAGTGGTCCCTGCCTGCCTGCCTACTTGTGGGGGTGGGACATAGCTCTGGCTTTTGCAGGCCATGTTACTACAGGTAACTGGGTGAAGGTTGACTTAGGAAGATATTCAGCATTTTTTTAATGAAATCTGAAATCATTCTTCCAAATGAGGCATGCAAGAGAAATAGCAGACCCCAAACTCATTTCCTAGCCTAAAATCAACTTGGGAAAACAACATGTGTTAGCAACAAAGTGCTTCCTGCAGGCCAGGCACTGTCCTTAGTGCTCGCAATGGTCATCTCATTAGCATCCTCGACAACCCTGAACTGGGTGCTCCAGGCCCCATTCACAGGCCAGAAACAGCCTACAGAGGCTGATGGGCTCAGGGCCATGGGGACAGGGGTTTCCAGGGGCGGGGGGACGTGCACTCACAGCTGCTAGGAGAGGTGGTGCCTGCGCGTGAGCATGGCTGAGACTCAGTGCTGCCTGAGCTACAGACATGGATAACAAGCTCACCAATGACTCAAGCTTAGGCTTTTCTATCCAAACTAGTTTTACTTCTTACATTGAACCACAAAAAGGTTTTTGGGGATCTGGAAGGAGAAAGAGGAGGTGTTTACAATCAGGTTCTAGAACACACCTTGAGAAATAACCAGGATATTCAAGATGCTTCTGTCCTTATGGATGGAAACGCAGATTTCATGATTACTGCAGCCCTGGCAGGACATTTCCCAGACGGTGGGAAGCACAAGCTAGGTGTAATCCCAAATCTATTTTAATACTTAAAATACATTTTAAAAATGTGACCCTCTCATCCTGTTTGATCCCCAGGGCAATGTAGAATAAACCCACACGTGCATTTCCCGTGAAAGTCAAGTTTTTAAAGACACCTTCTATGTCTAAATGTACTCCACGGGTTCTGCAGAGTCAGAGAAGCCGGATGAGGAGGCAGAGAATTAGCAGAGTTTGTGCAGCAAGCCAATCTGCTGCTTTAAGGAAAACAATGGACCTGGTTTGTGGCCAATCATAAAATCTGAGCTTTTAAGCAAAAATTTGGGAATTTTGGAAAACTTGAATCTGCCACTGTGGCCCTGAGGCTTCTCTGTTCTGATGAGGATCAGTGGTGACAGTAACAAAGGTCATTTTTTATACTGAATATCATCAGGAAGATCTGCACTAAATTACTCGGTGAGCCAGTATACTCAAAATGACCAACATACGATGCTAGAAAACCACATGTGGGCAGATCCATTCAATGTGTGGGCTACACCACTGGTTCTGATGGAACAGAGTGCGGTCAGCTCAGCGACATGCTTGCAGATTCTACACTGCAACTAACTGTTAAGAAGCACTCGGGCTCTGGTGTACTCTCAAAGAATGGCTGAAAAGGCTATTGAGATATTCTTCCCTTTACCAAATATGTATCTGGGTGAGGCAGAATTTTCTTCAGTAACTTCAGCCAAAGCAACCTATGACAACAGCCTGAGTGCAGAAGTAGCTATGAGAATCTACGTGTCCTCTATTGAGCCAGAAACTAAGGAGATTGGCAAAAATGTCAAGATGCCCCTCTTGTTACTAAATATGTTTTGGAAAGTAGTTCTTTTTTGGGGCGCCTGGGTGGCTCAGTCGTTAAGCGTCTGACCTCAGCTCAGGTCATGATCCCAGGGTCCTGGGATCGAGCCCCGCATCGGGCTCCCTGCTCGGTGGGGAGGCTGCTTCTCCCTCTCCCTCTCTCACTCCCCCTGCTTGTGCTCTCTTGCACTCTCTCTCTCTCTCAAATAAATAAAATCTTTAAAAATAAATCGTTTTTGGGCGCCTGGGTGGCTCAGATGGTTAAGCGTCTGCTTTCGGCTCAGATCATGATCCCAGGGTCCTGGGATCGAGTCCCGCATCGGGCTCCCTGCTCCGCGGGAGCCTGCTTCTCCCTCTGCTTCTCTCTCTCTCTCTCCCTCTGTTTCTCATGAGTAAATAAATAAATTCTTTAAAAAAATAGTTTATTTAAAAATATGTGCTATTTATGTTATGTAATGGGATCATTTTAAAAGTATTTAATAGTTTTAAATTTCTTTTAGTTTCAACACAGCAAATATTGATAAAATCTACACACACAAAAACCCTTCAGAGTCCTCAGTTTCTAAGTTTAAAGGGCCCCCAAGTCCAAAAATGTTGAGAACTACTACCTTGAGATGTCTTTAACTGTATTTTAACTTAGCTCTGTTCATTCTTTGTACCACACAGATCACTGGGTGGGCCTGAAAGGGTGTTGTTATAACTTTGTGAACCTTGTTGGATCTTGGTTTGAACACTCCAATGATAAAAGAGAGATCTTTAAGGTAACTGGGAAATTTTTATACAGACTGGGTATAAAAGTAAGAAATCACGGTTAGCTTTTGTGACCTGACAGGGTACTGTGGTTACCTAAGATGATGCCAAGCCCACCATCTGTGTGTTGCCTGACTGACTGACAGTCTTGAGCACTGTAAAGTAACCTGCGGGCTTGGGAGTTTTTCATGTCCCACCAATAGCACTTGTTGAGACCACAAACCTAGGTGGCAGTTGGCCCATAATGACGAAATTTCTGGGAGGCTGTACTTCGCCTCTGCCTACCCCAAGATCACAGCGGGCACAGGCCCTTGCTGTCCCTCCAGGGCTAAGGCCTCTCCTTCACCCTCACACCGAGGAGGTGGCCGTCTGTGGGCCCAGCAGCCTGTGCCGATGCCACCCAGGGCGGGACTTAGGCTGCACCTCCTGTCTCCCGGGGTTAGAAGTTCTTGGAGTGAATGCTGGGTTTGGAGCACACGAATTTCTCCGGATTCCAGCTTTCAGTTTGTTTTTCGCCCCTAAGGCTTCTTGCCTTTCATGCCACCTCAGCAACGTGCTGTAAAAGGGTTTATCTAGGTTCAGTTTATGCTACCCGGTAATTTCCCAAGAAGGGAGGAGGAGTTCGGGGCGTCTCGTCTGCTGTGCCACTGGAAACCAAACTGAGTACCTCTGTGTATAATGCAGGTGACATAAATCACTGAAGAAACAACTGTATTTTGTTCTTAGTGTTTACGAGTTTTTTCCAAACCATGAGAAAATATTTCTACTTCAATTGCTAGGAATGTGCTCCAATAAGCAGGGTCAAAAATCAATTTCTGTTTGCTTCAAAACCTGTGTTCCACTCGAACTGCCTGAGGAGGCCCTGGGCAGAAGTGCCGCCTGGGGCACAGCCGTCGTGCCCTCCACTGCTCCCCACGAGATCCAGCCGGCCAGCAGCCGCTCTTCTCCTTGGCCGACTCCTCTCCCGGCAGACTTGGGAAGGTCCAAGGGGGCCGTCCCAGAGGAGGTGGCGCTGGGTGTGAACTTCTGAAGAGTAGGTACTTTCAGCAAGTCGAGGCGGAAGAGGGAGAGCCGCGTGAGAGGCGGCCTGAAGGAGTGAGGCACCGGAGGCCCGCCCGGCCCGGCTCGGGGCACGGGCATTCAATCGCACAATCCCATCTTGAAGCAGAGAGAGCTGTCCCTCCCAACTCAGTGGCTCCTTTTCTCACAATGCGTGCTTTCCTCAAGGCTGTCGGGAGTCACCTACCGGCATGGCAAGGTCTACTGCAGGGATGCCTGACGAAGTCCATGAACATCGCCCCCGCCCCCCGCCCCCCCCGGCCGGAATCACTTGCAAAATTGTGTCTGTAAATTTTCCTGGCGAGAAGGTCTATCAACTTTAGAATCACATTAAGACCATTACATTTAAAATCTTAGGAACTACTGGTACTATATTTGTTTCAAAATGTAGTTTTACCAGTAAGAAAGTACCCGAAACTAGCCCAGTGGAGTATCATTTAATAACACAATTTAGGTAATGGCAAACAAGTCCACAGACTAACAGCAAAGTGGTATTTTTCTAACAGTCTGGAAAGCATGAATGACTGGTTTCTCGGGTAGCATGGTCTCCCTGCAACCAGCAGTTGCATTGGCTGATAGGGCTGACTGAAGCTTCTGATGCCCAGCTTGGCTGGATTCCAGTAGCTGTGATTCTACCACATGCCTCCTTCTGCCCACGTGTGGTCACTTACCTTGTGAGGTGGTCAGAGATCCTTAAGAACACACCTGCTTCTCTCCTTCGTTAGGACCACCAGACGGGGATGGGGGTGGGGGTGGGTTCTTATCGGACTCTGTGAACCCATCCTTAACCCAGGGATGGACTGTGGAATCGATGACTGAAAGCCACAGGACTGGAAGCAAGTGCTCTCTACCAGAGTCATGCTCTGCGTGTGCACACTGACAACAGAGTTAACAGCGGAAGACAGAAACCATTTCTCTTTCTTCTCCCTATTAATGCACACACAGGTCCTCACCTCATATGGTCCCCATCTCTTGCTCCCTAGGCCTCAAGGTCTCCAAACTGTATTTCCATGATATCAATCCACGCAACACTTTCATCCCACAGCAAAGTCCAGAGAGAAGAGAAAGGGGAGAGGAATCAGGCTCTCTCCTTAGTGCCTGAACACCGCAAAGGAGGGGACTGTGGCGGCGCACGAGATCAACACACAAGCCGCATAACTCCACCCGACCACAGCTGTCCTCCTGGTTCTCCCCAACAGAACCAGAGAAAGGCAGCCTTCTCCCTTACCAGCGTGCCAAGGAAGGTGCTGATGGTGCGTGCTGCCTGGCAGAGGGCGCCATACTCCTCGAGAAGGAGAGAGATGAACTGGTGTGCCTGCGGAGGGCCCTGCAGGGCAGACGGCGCTTTCACTTTGGATGCAGCCGACAGCTGCCGGAGGAGTCGGACTTTCATCTCCAGCACATACTCTCTGGCTTGTTGTTCCAACCGCTGGTACAGCTGGTAGGGGTCCCTCTCACAGAGCCTGCACAGAGAAGAGAGAGTCACCACTCACCTGTGACCCGTCCAAACAGGGCCCTCCACGGACCCGCTATCGGTGAGCCACGTTCTGCAGCCTTTCCACGGGTGCCCACCCAGCGATGGCAACAACCACCATCTTCTGAACGCCCTGTGAGAGGTGCCATCACCCCACTCGACACAGAGGGGCCCGGGCACAGAGAGCACCGAGAACCACAAAGTCATCAGCTGACAAAAAACCCCAGTATTTACTCAAAACTTACTGTGCACTAGCACTGTGTCTCACATGGACTGACCCAGTTAATCACTGAGTTAATCACTCCGCTAAACACCGAAGTCCACACGGGCTGGGTAAAATGCTGGGAACTCACACACCCAGCACGTGGCAGAGTGTACACACCAGCACCTCAGCGGCTGTCTTGGGAGGGATGCGCTTTCCCTCAGGAGACTGAAGACAATTAATTTTCAATGCCCGTGTGGTAGGTGAAAAGCAACCAACCCAGCAGAGGTGATACCTGGCGTGGAGAACTCTAGAGTGGACTGTTCTGTCCTTCTTTCTAGGAATTCAGTATATAATCCAAATGGGCTTTTATTATTTTTATAATCAGAGGAAACTGTAGCATCAATGTCTCTTTTTAAGTTATCTCACAAAAAAAGAGAAGGGAAAAATTAGTATGTGCCTTTCCACTGGGCTACACTAGCAGTTAACATTTTTATGAATTTCTTTCCTAATCTGGAGATAATCTACTAAAGTGGCTGTTTCTTCTAACTGTGCACTTCTGAGGAGCCTGCAGGCGGAAACCCAGGACCATGGGGGCGACAACAGTTATCTGTCTGCAAACCACCACCAGGAGGAAGCACTTGAGGCCAGCACTTTATTAGACACAAGTTGTAAAACATACCAAGCTATAGTTCCTGGCTTTTACATAATGGATCCTTTTACCTTCTGGGCACCACATTTGGTCGAAAGAGAGGAATGTATGTGGCCATCTATTCCAGTTTTAAATTAGTGCACCACCTAAGTTATAAAGACAAGAAGCAAGAAAAACCCAGCAATGGAGCATGGGAAGCCTTGCACAAAATGCAGCTAGAGAAACAATAAAAACTGATGGGATTCTCACTGGGGTCAGCACACTTCAGAAAGATATAGTCGTTTTTTAGTGTAGCAATCACAATTTTAATTACCAGTACAATTGTTCTGTGAAACAGAATGTATTTCATCTGTTAAAGGAATGCCATAGAAGACTCAAATGACAGAGGAACAACCAAACTTAAAGTAAACTGGATGCCTCTTAGCATGGCGAATTAAGCGCCCATTTTATTTTATTTCTTTGTCCATTTCTGTACCTTAGAAATTCAACAAAATGGTCATGTGGTCCTTCTGCGAGTAGATTTTTCTAAGGCTGTACGACCAAGAGGCAGGAGTATGCCGAAGACACTGTGGTGGCTCATCCATACGTACATTCAACAAACACCGGTGTACGTGCGCTGAAGGTGGCAAAGCCGCAGCAGTGAAGAAGCCAAGGAAACAAACTCTCTGCCCTCACGACGCTTATGGCACATGCACACAGATGAGGGAATTCTGGGTAATGGTAGGAGTATAATGAAAAAGAAGGCAAGGGGGTAAGAGTGATGGCAGGAAGGTGCCTGGGGTCTTACCCAGGGTGGCCTCTTGGAGAAGGTGACTCTGTAAAGTAATGTGAACAATGGACGGCAGAAAAAAACCACCCTGGGAAAGGAAGAACACGGCAAACAGAGAGAAGAGCGAATGCAAAGGCCCTGCAGCAGGAGCGAGTGTGACCTGCAGAGGAAGGACGGGAGCCAGCAGAGCTGGAACGCAGTGAAGAATGGTCTGAGGGCCACGCAGAGCAGGACCATGCAGGACGCCAAGGGCCAGAGAGGGGAGGAAAGGATGACCAGAATGGGCGTTACAAACACCCCTCTCCTGACGCGTGTCGGCACATAGACAACAAACGCAGCTGCACTCTCAGAGACAAGGGTGAGGGCAAGTACAGCGTATCTGATACAGACGTACCTCCAGCTGGGGGTGTGATATTCCCACATTCCTAACAGTACATCTCACTATAAGGGCAATGCCGTTTCCCAAACCTCAGGAATTCCATTACCAGCTTTATACCATCTGCCAGAATATCTCTCATCAGTATTAGTACCTGCCAAGTGTTTTCCTTCAGCTGCCTCTTATTCAACTCCAGCCACATCCCAAGCACTGGTAGTCTATGAAGTCATGTGCCTGAACGGGAGGTTCTATCACAAGGAAACCTAACTTCTGGAAGAGGCACACAGCACCCGGAGCCATCTCCTGCAATGCTAGGGGCTCACAGGTCAAGCCTTAAACACACTGGCTGGATTCATCCACTAGTTAACAGAACCCACGGCCAAGCACTATTCCTAGCTCCAGAATAAACTGTATTGTACAGCAAATAAGTCTATAAAAGCCCCATACAAAATGTGAGAAAAACCAAAAGGAGAATCAATCCATGAAATGTCTAGCTCAAACTTACCCCTTTTATTTGGAACATTTCAAAAAAGAGAAAAAAGATGCTACAAACTGTAAGGAAGAATAAAAACTACGCCCACCTCAAATTCAGTACTGTCACGGGGCACAAGGTGTCTGCTGAAGAACAGACGCTGAGTTGTAAGCTACTCCTACCTGAGAAACGCCCACTCGGACAGGCCTGGCTACAGTGGGCTCTCCACTCCCGCCCCGGCGCATTCTCAAACTGCCTGACCTCGTGGAAGCTTCTTCTACCTCAAAGGTGGGATAAATGCCTGTCCTCCTTGGGCTGATTACATGCAAGAGTGCTTGAGAAAGTGCTCAGCACCATCCCTGGCACAGTAAGTACTCAGAAAGTAGTGCTACAGCCAGTCTCAACACTAAGAAATGACAGAAACATGTCGATTCATTTTTTTATTATACAGGCACTAAGCATTTCATCAGAGTTTTAATTTGAAGCTTTACCCAGAGGGCTTGCTTCTGGCAGTCTGTCTGCTCAAGACTGGCAGTGCACGAGGGGCTGAGCAAGCGCAGCCGGGCTTACTGGGTCCTGAAAGAGAAGCCCACCCTGAGCAGAGGGGAGGCTTCCGGGGCAGCAGCTGAGGGAGGGACATGACACAGGGGGCAATGTGTACCTATCCACGAGCTCCTTCACCCCCTCCTTGTCGGGCACGAGACTCTGGTCTTGGTCGTCGGCCAGCGGGGTCCCCGCCTGGCGGTAAATGCAGCGGACCATGTAGCGCACTTCCGACCAATAGTTCTGCAGCTGCTGAGGTTCCCGGTCCGTCTCTGCCGAAATCTCTCTGTGAGACGGCACAAGAGCAAGGGGGTCAGGGTTAGTGGACAGTCTGGGTCACCCTTTACCCTCCAGACAGCCTAAGGGGATGGGGACGGACTCCAACCGGCACCCTCCACTTTGCTCAGCTCCTGGAGCTGGCTCCCGTCTGCTGTGGCCGCAGGGAGGCCTGATGACCAGCACGGGCTTCAGGTGCCCGCAGCTGGCTGGTTCCCCAAACCCCCATCCCCAGGGGACTATAGCCCCTCCTCGCACAAGAGGAGTGCACACACCTGGCGTTCCATGTCAAGAACGCTGATGCTCCCCTCCATCTCAAGGTGCCCATCAGGCAGCTCTCACTCCCCACGAAGCCCCTGCTCCCCACTCGGCTGCACGGGCTTCCATCTTGAGTGGAGCGCAGAGCTGGTTCAGAGCCCCCAAGTCCTGGCCTCTCCTCCTCTCTGCCCTGCAGCAGCGGCACTGCCAGCTTGCCCAGCCTCCCAGGGGAGGGCGGCTCTCCCTCCACCTAATGACTCCGCTCTGCCTCCTCCCTCTTTCCGAGTACTAGCTTGCCCCGGTCAGCCCTCACAGACAGGGATGCAGGAGAGTCTCAGCCATCCGGGTCTTCTGCCTGACACCCAGGCTCCTGTCTGTCCTCAGGAATGGCTCAAATGCCTGCCGTCTTTATGCAAATGGCCCCTTTCCCGTTACAGCTACGTCGCGGGGGTCGGTCCCACGGTCGCACCCTGGTACCTGCGCTCGCTGCAGGCCTCACAGGCGCACGCGGCATCCGAGGGGGCAGTACCCAGCCCCGCCGAGGGCAGCGTCTGCGCGCTGAGGGCTAGCCTCCCGCCGCCTGCCTCCGGCTGGGACCCACCAAGAGGGGAGTGAAGAAGAAAGTCTTGGCCCTGCTTTAAAAAGAGAACAGAATAGACTATGTTCAAATGTTCATGGTACAAATTTGTTATTAACGTGTCAGAAAAATGCCTTTTAGAAACAAATTTAAACTTAGACACTGACAAGATCTGCAATGACATCATCTGGGTAACTTTCTCTCTGACACCCAAGAATTTTGTTTGCAACCGATTATTTATTACCTTTGGAGGGTTCTACCATAATCTCATGAAGACTGGCAAGAAATTTCTTTCATGCTTTAGAAAAGAGCAGCTCCACTCTCAGCGTCCTAATCAGCACATGCAACGACCAGCGCAGTGGGCGCCTCTTCCAAGTGATGCCCCACACTCGCCCGGGATGGTGCTTGGTGCAAAGCTAGCGGCCACTGCAAGCCCAGTGGGAAGTGGTGGGGAGGGAGCAGAGGCCTCTGGGTCCCGTGGAACCCCACAGCTGTGCTGAGGCTGGAGAAAGAGAACGTTCTGGGCAAAGACGGCGGGATGAAGCAGGCTTCAACTGTCATGTCTGGAACCCAACAGCCCCTAGAAGGTTCCACCAAGAGCCATTACAGGGAACATAAATACAACCTTTGCCCCCCACCCAACCCCCCTCCAGCCTCAGTTTCTCCTGTCTTGGGACATGACCCCACACTCACCCAGCTGGCGCCTTGTCCCTCAGTGACAGGACTTGAGAGGGATTCTATTACAATATGGACAGGTGGGCTCCAGTCCTAGAGTGGATGATCCCCACGGTGAAGAAAGGGCACTAACAGGGCAGCCAGCCCCACAGCCTTCACCTCACCAGCCTAAGGAGAAGGGCAGAGCCACAGGAGGGGCCCGTGAAGGGAGCGCACACAGGCGAAGAGAACGGAGACAAGCCCTCGGAGGCTGTGGTGTCTGCTGGGTGCTTGCTCAGGGTGGTCAGACACTTGTGGCACCACCCCAGCTTGCTACTGGATGAAGCACAGGGAGACTGGGCCTGTCGTGTGCCCCTTGGAGTTCGGGCACGCGGACACGGGAGGGAGCAGCAGAGAGCCAGCCTCCATCACGTGGTAGGCGGGGTCCCAGTCAGCTCCAAGGGCGGGGGCTTGCGTCATCAAAGAACCCCACCCAAAAGAGTTCCTGCTAGGTGAGTGGGTCCCAGAATTAACCCAGGCGGCAGAGCAGGGGTGCGGGTGGGGGAGTCGCAGAGAGTCCACAGCAGACAGTGAGGAGTCCAGACCGAAGTCTAGGAAACCCTAAAAAAGGGCCTCTTAGAAGCAAGAGCCACTCACCAGTGGGACACCTGTAAGGACCCCGGGCCCTGGTCACCAAAGAGAACCACAGACAGCCTGTAAAGAATGGAGACCCCCCCCCAACTCCTCTTGCCCAGAGCCCCTTCTCCCCCTGGGCAGAGCAGGGAAGGCCAAGGAAGCAGGACAGGCACCACTGCCTCCCACCCCTAGACATGCCCTTGGTGATCCCTGAGGGCCCTTGTGGACACCGAGGGGAGACTCTAGGGTTCTCGGCAGATTGGACGGGAGAACCTGCAAACGAGACGATTCTAATACCCACGGCGACTAGAAAGGCTCAACAGGTCTGACGACAGTGCTGGCAGAAACAGGCTGTCCCCCAAGAGCAGCAGGTCAGTGCACTGCACGGAGGAGGTTTCCTCTCTCCTCCATCCCCCTCAAATCCGACAGCAAGGCTGCCCGTGCGACTCCAGTCCTCAGCAGATGCACCATCTGCTCCTGCTTCTCCCTCCACTGCTCCCAACCGGTCCAAGCCACTGTCACCGCTGCCTGCCGACTGTGGCGGCTCTCTGCGGCCCGCTGCCACCCACACTCACGGCCCTTCTGCAAGTAGCAGCCAGAGTGGTGGTTAAAGCGAAAGAGACCCCGTCGCTCCCCTGCACAGAACCTTCCATTCCACTTAGAAACAGACTCTACATTTCTTACCAGTCTTCATGGTTTCCCAGGACACATTTTTGCTTTTTCTTTCACTGCACTTGAGTCTTTGCCTAGAGCGCTAATCCACTCAATCTGTGAATGGTCTGACAGACTGATAGAGTTCTATCAGTCACGCCTCAGCAGGGGCTGCCAGGTATGGGCTTCTGCCTCTCTGCTCCAAAGCCCCTTCTCTGCCCTGCTGTGTGTGAGGGCAGCACCCGGCGAACACCGCTCCTCGGTCAGTGGCGCTGTGTGGGTGCCCTGCCAGCAGGCGGCGCTGGAGGGTCACTGCGGAGGCTTCCGAGGCCCCAGGGCTGAGAGGCTGGAGGGGGACTGGGCTGCCCACTCCCGTGACAGCCTGTCAGACCCGGCGTGCGGCTTCTCAGCAGCTGCCCTGCTACCCGGAGAGCCTCTCCCAGGGCTGTCCTGCCCAGAGTCCTCTCTCTAAGCTGCCTCTGCCTGAGAGCGGCTGCTCCCTAGGTGCACCACGCTGGACCCTCTGGCGTTCCCTTCCCAAATCTGCGTAGTTGATCTGTTACTAGTTAACAGTCGGTTCTCCATGCAAAAGTGTCCCGGTTCAAATTACTGATGTGGGGGCCCATCCCCCGAGCTTAATCACCCCTGTTAATCTCTTACATCACAAACTGCTATTTGAGATCCCGGTATTTCCCTTGTTTTCTCGTTTGGTTTTTGTTTCGTTTTTTACCTGTCTTCATCACCAGAAGACCGGTTCCCCAAGAGCAGGACCCGTATGTCCCGCTCACCGTTGTACATTAGCACCAAGGATGCTGCCTGACACACAGCACAGACTCAGAACAGCAACCAAGAACCTGGAAAGTAACATTTCCTGGTGACAAGGGATGAAATGAGGCCTTTTAAAATCACGCATGAGGACTATATCGTAAATCCTTAAATGTGTCACCTTCTAGTACTCATCTTATACAAATTTAATTTCAGTTATTATGTTCTGTCCAAGTCCAACACAGGTGAAAAGAATACAAGATCTAACACTCAACAATGTAAAATACGCCAAGCCCAGCATCCAGTAACAAAACCAGGAAGAAAAATAGAACACAGAACCATGAGGGAAATCAATCAATAGAAACAGACCCCAATGGGCGCCTGGGTGGCTCAGTGGGTTAAGCAACTGCCTTCGGCTCAGGTCATGATCCCAGAGTCCCGGGATCGAGTCCCGATGCTCTCTGCTTGGCGGGGAGCCTGCTTCTCCCTCTGACCCTCTCCCCTCTCATGTGCTCTCTCTCTCTCTCAAATAAATAAATCTTAAAAAAAAAAAAAAAAAAAGAAACAGATCCCAAAACAACAAAAATGATGCAACCAATGGACAAGAATCTGGAACTGGTGATTATAAACTCCGTATGTGTCGGAAAGTAGAGGAAAACATAAACACGACGAGGAAAGTGAAGATGTAAAAGATTAGTGAACGGAACTTCTGGAGAGGAAAAATATACCTTAAGGCAGAGTATCAATAAATCTGAAGCAATAAAAAATCCAAAATGAGGCACAGCAAAAAACAAGACTGAAAAAAAATAAAACATTTCTAAAACAAAAGTCAAGATGTCTAGCATGCGGGTAATGGTGTCCCAGAAAAAAGGTTATATAAAGAAATTGTTGAAAATTTCCCATATTTGATGAGACTGTAAACTGGAGTATCTTAAAAACTCATCTAAACCAAAGCACAATAAACAGAAAGCAAACCATACCAAGGCACATCAGTAAAAGGGCTGAAAATCAAAGATGAAGTACAAATGTGAGAAGCAGGCAGAGGAAAACATCCCTTCTGCACAGAGGAGCAAAGACAAGGATGACAACATGCTTCCACCAGAAACTAGGGTATAGCCAGCAAAGAAATGACCAGCAACCTAGAATTCTGAACAGAAATAACTTTTTAAAATGAAAGCAAAAGACAAGCTTTCAGACAAACAGAAGTTCCCCTACACTACAAAAAAATGTTAAAGGCAGCCCCTGAGGCAGAAGAACAGCCACAGATGAACGGAGCTACATGCAGAAGTGAAGAGCACCAACCCAATAACGAAGGGGGGGGGGCGGCGACTCTTCGCATTTAAAAAAATTTTTAATTAAAAATTTTATTTATTTATTTGACAGAGAGAGACACAGCAAGAGAAGGAACACAAGCAGGGGGAGTGGGAGAGGGAGAAGCAGGCTTCCCGCGGAGCAGGGAGCCCGACGCGGGGCTCGATCCCAGGACCCTGGGACCATGACCTGAGCTGAAGGCAGACGCTTAACCAACACTGAGCCACCCAGGTGCCCCTATTTTAAGGCTCTTAATACTGCATATTAAGTATATAATATTCTTTGAAAGTAGAAGTTGAAAAGTTGAAGATATATATTTGATTCTAGAACCACTAAAAATAATGAAACAATGTGATACAGGTAATAAGCCAAGAGGAGGTAAAATAGAGTAAAAAATATTCAAGGGGCGCCTGGGTGGCTCAGTCATTAACTGACTCTTGATCTCAGCTCAGGTCCTGATCTCAGGGTCATGAGTTCAAGCCCCGTGTTGGGCTCCATGTTGAGCAGGGAGGGAGGGAGGGAGGGAGGGAGGAAGGAAAGACAGAAAGAGAAAAAATTCAGTTAATATGAGAGAAAGAAAGAAAGAAAAAGAAAAAATTCAATTAATCCAAAAGAAAAGAAGGAAACACAAGGAAAGAGTAGCAAACAACAGATGGGGGAAAAAAGGAAGAAAAAAAAAAGCAAAAAAAAGCAAGATGGTAAATTTACATCCAAACATATCAATAATTACATTAAATGGAAATAGTTAAAATTTTCCAATTGTTAGAAGAGATGGTCAGGTTGGATTAAGAAGCAAGAGGTACCATGCTTTCTAGAGTGGATTATAAAGACACAGATAGGTTAAAAATAAAGGTTGGGAGACACACTGCATGCAAATACTAACTTAAAAAGGCTGGGTAGCTCTAAGTATCGGAGAAAGTTGGCTTTAAAACAAGGAATGTTAGCAGCAGTGAAGCAGATGATGACGGTACAAATAAAATAAACAATAATGACAACACGACCAATCTAACAAGAAGCAGTAACAGTGGTAAGTATGCAAGC